TAAGTAAGTTTAGGGAGGTCGGACATTGGGTCGAGGGTGGGGAGTTTGAGGCGGGTGGTGCAGTGGATCGAGGATGGGATAGAATAGTTGAGGGAGATAGGGCAATGAATCGAGAGTAAAAAGGTTGAAGGGGTTAGGAAAGCTGGGGGAAATAGGACAGTGGGTCAAGGATAGGAAGGTTGAGGTAGGTGGAGCAGTTGGCCGAGGCGAGAGTGTCATCAGGGCAGCGGATCGAGAATAGGAAAGCAGAGGGACATAGGGCAGTGGGTCGAGGATTTGCGTTGGGATGACTGTATAAACTTCACTGGCTCTAAAGTCCAAACCAGGGGTCGGCAAACTTTTGTCGTTCGCGGGCCGCACATAAAGGTTGCAAGTCATTGGCGGGCCGCACGCATTTTCAGAAAGTTAAAAACCAAAAGAATGGCCAATGAATCGCATTTTTTCACCCAGATTTCAGGTAAATTTCAAGCAGTGCGCGAGAACTGATCATTTGAATATTTTCAGCGTCATAAAACCATTTGCGCTCAGCATCAACCTTTTTACGTTCTGTTGCCATTTCTCTAATTATATAGTTCAGGGTTAGTTTCTCAAAACAAATTCTGTCACGTAAAGAATATAATCGTCAATAAAGCTGTTTTGTTAATATAGTTCAGTGAAGCGTCGTGGGCCGGATCCGGATAACTGCAAACTCTCCCTTAACAAGGAAACATCGCGATAATCCTAAGTGCTGAAAGAACTCAAAACTGAAACTCAAAAATACGATTTCAATTCATTCATTGCTAGTAGACGGTTTAAGAAGTATTTCATGGTTGCCGTAGTATATTAGTCAACTTAAAGGCGAGCAATGATGAACACAATTGAATTGATATGAGAAGACATTTTAAATTCTCGGGTCGGCCATGGATTGAATATTTTACGCAACAGAAATCTCGTCATCCGCTGAAAAAGACGTTGCCCGGGAATTTTCTATTATGAACCCCCTCCCTTTTAGAAAACCATGATTTCTGCGCCCTCGCAGATACAAAATTGACCAAGTCAGTTTTTCCAAGTAAACGAATAGCTCTCGGAGCCCTGAGGCTCCGTTCGGAGCACTTGTAGCAGTGGGGATCAACGACCGACAAAAGACTCATCTCCTCACCCTCATCGGATAGAAATACATCACTCAAACCATACATATGAGCGGAATAACAGCGAATAATGTATAAAGATTGGTTTCACGTGTATTCTTATGAATGATGATTCACTTCCTCAATGTGTTGTTTGTTCCAACGAACAAACGTTCCTCATGTTCTTACCAACAAAAGCTTGAAAGCATTAGTCATAATAAACGCTATTATCCACAATTTTGTGTGATAAGTTTCATATAATTTCGTGCAAGGGATATGCTAGTGTCGACAAGAGTCTTAAAATCGATAACTTATTACATGTTTAACAAATGCTTGTGTCGCGAGAAGTTAGAAAATTTTTTTTTTGGTCGCGCTAAAAAGTAGTTGCGGACCCCTGAGTAACATTCATGGTTTGAGAATATTTATTTTTCGCTGTTTGGATAATACATGAATAATTTTCAACACTTACGACTAAAAATTAGACACGCCCTTTATCTGAATTGTATGATTTAAATAAATCTCAAATAAATGATGAAACATTTACTCCGGGTACAATTAAATAATCAAATTCACAATTTAAATGGAACCTAAAAAATGCAAATTTTGTTTCGAGTTCAATAATAAAGCCCTCCTATTGGCAGCGATGAATTTTTTTGTATGCGTGTGCGCAGTTATCTGCACATTCAGTGCCCATTCGTTTTTGTGTAGGACCTTATTACCGATCAGTCGACCGCGATCCAGTTTGAAGATTTTAGTCGATCGTGGTCGAAAGCAGATTGGCCACTACTGTTATAGTTGATAACTTATCATATATGAATATATATATATGAACTTCTCATTGGACACGTTTAGTGGACATAACGATCGTTTTGTTGTTATGTTGTTCTTGTTCTTGTTGTTCTTTGACACTTTTTGGACACCTAGTTGAAATATTAAAAATCCGCTTTTCTCTTTGATCACTGGACCCATTGCTTTGAAATTTTTAGTGGTTAAAGATAAAAATTTCCCCCAGAAGGCTATTACTTTTATTCATTTTAAATATTTCTGATAGCTCTGTGAGATTTGTTTTTGTTTGCTATGACGTCATTAAACGTTCTGCGGGCATCGGACGCCATTTTGTGTCCTACTGTACTGCTTCACTTGGTGTGAATATATTTGTAGACTGTGATCTGACGGTACGGTAAACCGTACTGTACTGCGAACAGACGTGTCCATATATTTGGGCGTAGCTCCGGAGGGTTCCGGATTGGTTGTATATTGTACGGCAACTTCACAATATAACACAGCAAAAACAGAGGACACAACAAAACGCAACCGACCTCCAGTCCAACGGCCGGAGAAAGAGAACAAGCGATATATTTTCTCTCGCACGTGTAATAGGTGGTTGGAGGTGGGTGGTCGTGTAATGGAGACCAACAGATCCGGCCAAAACTGCCCAAATCAAAGGCGTAGTACTATAATGATAGCATACAGAGGAATACAAAAATGTAATTACACAATACAAACACGGACGTTATGGTTCGTGACACTATTGGCTGAAATCGTTCCCATTTCTTTTGTCGCGTACAATTTATGATTAACAAATCGAGTGTAAACAAAGAATACCTACATATGTCATTTACTAATTGTTTATCTTTTTAGTACCTAATCTGTTTGTGTCGTGGTCCCACCCAGTGATTTCCCTACACCCCCCCTATAGGGGGTGAACACCCCCCTAAAATTTCTAACACCCCCCCTAATTTTGAGGTGCGATTCCACACTGTATTTCCTAACTCAAGTATAATTGTATTCAAATATAACGACTATGGTATATTTATCAATGTAGATGAGGGGTTCTAAACCGCAGTCTGCGGGCCAATTACGGCCGGCGTGACGATTTAAAATGGCCCGCCGAACTTGAATGAAATAGTTTAGCCCTTCATGTGGTACCTTTTGAGTTTTAGATACCGTCTATTGTTACATCATTATCACAGTTTAAGCACGTTTATTTCGTAACAATTGAATTATACCGGTATCTAATGTATACGTATGGGTATTAGGATTATACACTGCAGTATTTTAGATATCAGCCGTATATTAGGAAAGCTTAAAGATGTCACAAAACGAAAACTAGGCACTGAAAACAGACGTTTTTTATATGAATGACAGCGTTTTTATTTCTTTATTGAAAAGAATCAAACTTCAGCTATTTGTCTTCTTACCAAAAAATATTTCAGTTCTGAAGGAATACAACATTATGATCAGTTGACGCGCGTATTTCAAAATTTAATTCATTGCTTAATTCATACAAAAGTCAAACAAACATGTTCCAAAAAAATGTGAAATGTGTAACAAAACAAGCCATAAGTAGCCATTCATACAATGCCAGATGAGCGAATAACTTCATTAGTCACTATCAGTTGCAAATTACTTGTTGAAACGTAGTAGTATATATTTACGGTTTGAAAGCCGTGCTTGTTTTCTATTTCCCGGGAATTCTATCAGCTAAATATTATAATTATTGATTTCATTACATAACAAACTGCGATGCTAGGTGTATCTAAAATCAAGCTTAGAGCCTATTTTGGTGCCTATTTCTCAAAATTTTCTCATGGCGCGCTCAAGCGGTGACTCCAGCCGTGACGTCCCGTACTTTTCCTCGCTCCCCTTTTATGGCCCTACAATTTTATTCTGCTGTGGATTTTGGCTCGCCGTCAATCAACTTGGGGGCCCTCATGTACATCGTTTCTTAAATACATACCATTTTTTTAAGAATACAAATGGCCTAGTTTTATCTCTAGTAGCAATTTATTCACCACCCCCTAAATTTCGAAACACCCCCCCCCCCTAAAAAGAAACGCTTGGTTAAGGTTATCAGAGCAATGCCGTGGAACTGCATGCTCTCTCTAGCTCATGTTTTTAATCTTTCTTTGCAATCGGGACAATTTATTGATGAATTTAAAATCGCTAAAGTTGTACCGCTTCTCAAAGGCGGAGACATGAAAAATGTCAAAAACTATAGACCGATTAGTCTGTTTTAAAAATTTTAGAAAAAGTAATGTAGCCTACAATAGATTATTTAACTTTTAGAACAAAAGAATTTTTTCTACCATCAACAATTTGGTTTTCTTGAACCACCACATAACAGATTGCCAACTCAGATCAGTCAATTACAAGTACAACCTACGGTTCATTCGTAAATATTTAAGTTGCATATCCGCCATGTTAATATGGGCGTCGGTAAAATGAAAGGGTCCGATCACGAAATTAACTCAGTAAGTATAGTTACTATTTATTTCATGACAAATAGAATTATATGCGACTGTTTGGGTAAAAAAGGTTTGGGTAACAATATGCTCGTACTTTTCGGGTTTGATACATTGTAAACTATTGTATACTCTTATACATTGTGTACTCTTGGGTTTACAGTATATCCGGATGAGAAGTAGGCTACTGGATGCAAACTCAATCGATCTGCTCCCATCTAAAAAATACCTTGCTCTATATCACTTGTAACAATTTTCTAATCTGTCTCTTATTGTTTTTGTAAAAAAGCATTAACTAAAAATTTATATCGAGAATTAGGAGCTGTTACTTACTAAAATGGAAAACGAAGCTTCGCTGGCTTTGGGAAAGTGCAATAACGTATTTGATGAAAACAATGGCGGCGAAGCATTAATGATTTAATGGACGCGTATAATGCGGTGACCGTACATTTGAACCCACGTACATTTGAACCCATGTGTATATCCACGGGTTCAATCTATATGCGGGTGCTAAAACCCATGGGTTAGGGTTAGTATGGGTTCAACTATCCGAAAAACAAAAAAAATTCCATAGGTGCAATAGCATACAGGTGCAATTGTCATGGGTTCAAATGTACGTGGGTTCAAATGTAATGGAACCGTATAATGCATGCCCGGAAAATACGATCCCGATATGGAAGTTCTAAATTATAGCGCGCCAATGCAAACTGTGCGAATTGCGCTAAAATATTTAGGTTGCGATGAATCGATCAAAATACTAGATGTTGCTTGTGGTACTGGACTAGTTGGGTCATTGTTACGAAACAATGCCTTCAAGGGCCTACTTCATGGAATTGACGGCAGTCAAGAAATGCTTAAAATTGCACGGAAAAAAGAGACATACGATGAATTATTTACTCAATTTTTATCGCCTGGGAAGCCAATTATGACAAGTCGTGGTTTGAAATATGATGCAATACTATGTGCTGGAGGGATAACCAAGAACCATCTGGACCCTGAGCTTTTGATAAATTTCTTGGAAGTTTTGACAACAGGGGGAATAATGGTGTTTGCTTTAACTAAAGGTACATACAACGTGGAAGTGGAAAAAGCCGTTGATAAGGTCTTAAAATCTCTCATTATTTCTGGAAAAATTGAAGAACTTGAACTATTCGTAAATGGAAATACATTCGAAGTTGGTGAAGATGCTGTACCAGAGAATTTTAGGAAGGAAGATTCGTCTTCAAATTTCAACTCTTGTATTTATTGTTACCAGAAAAAATGAGTAACACTCGCACAGTAGGCATACTTGCATATGTGCCAGTATTCGGTACAAAAGGATTATGTTGTGTTGTTTCATGTTCGTGCATTGCTATTAAGTAAATTATATAGAATTAATGTCTAACATGCGTATATGTGAGGCCGATGTTATTGTTAGGATGCATTGGTGAAATAAGTCGCGATAGCGCTATTTATTTTTCCGAGCTCCCGGGTCCGATATTTCAATCCAAATATCTGCTTTTCGGAATTCATAGGATCACATTTTTCTGAAATGTTTCAGATATCGTCATTTGACTTTTGTATAGTTCAGGGGTGGCCAACACGTCGATCGACACGTCTAGAGCAGTCGATCGCCTCTAATGTTGAGTGAATTTTATTGAATTACCCCCCAAAATTGCCTCGAACCAGTTGTGTGTTTTACAACAGGAAGAATACAGTGGGCTGCCATGCATGCGCAAAAAACACATACAGTATTTGAGTCTGGGCAAACCCGATAAAGCATACTATTACGTAACAAATGCATGTTTTTCCGCTCCCAAAGTTTAAAAATGAAGTGCCGGATATCGCGTGTCTAGACTGACAAACGATCCTACAATAACTTCCGCACTATGCGAAAGTTATTGTCTCACTCCAAGGGTAGTGTGACAAATTTAATCGCAATGGTAGCAGTAGCATCAAAATGCCCAATTTGTTCTAATTCTAAGCAAGCGAAGAATAGCGTTTGGATGAAATTGTAAATTAGATACTGAAGTTTGAGCAGTCATGTAGCACAGGGGTTCACTCTAGGTCGCGAAACAATTTAAATTTTCCATAAATATGAGCGTCTGTGTAGCGTATTTATGTATAACAACTTTATAAATCTCTGATTATAATTATGAATGTTTCCCTGAGTATACACTTCCTCATTTACTGCCGTAACATTGGCCAATCAGCAGAATTGCAAAATTGAAGTAACAATAAACGTTTCAGAAGCGCTCAGATACTTTTGCCATTCAGACAGTCTTTCGTGGTTGTGAATATTATCTCGTTTTGGCGGTTTTCGCATGCTCTGTGTTAGTTTTTAGTTGTGTTTTGGTAAATATAAGTCCTAAACTCGCAAAACGATTCTTGAAATAAGTACCAATAATTTTCACAATGGCAGAGTGTAAAGAATAAGAATTCAAGAGATCAAAGTCGGGGAAACACTCGTTACTTAGTTGTTCGCATTGTTATATCCTACTACGTAGACTGTAGATTCTCAAAGTGCACCGTACGGACCTCAGGACTCCGTTGAAGACACTTAGGGCCTCCGCGAGCTTTTCGTTTACTTGAAAACTCTTCTCGACCCACTGCCCTATCTATATCTACTTACCTATCGTCGTGCCTGACCTAACGGCGCTTCATTCACGACCCGATTGCCACACTGAACTTTACTACCTTGCGAACAACTTCCATGGGTTATACTGGTCGTGTATGCCAATGAGATGATTCAATCGTACGTCGACAAAACATGATTGTCGGCATTCGTATATGTAGGCGGGAATCTCAAATGGTAAACAATAACCATAATTGGCAGTTTAAAAATGTGTTACTAATTGGGCTACTGATGGTTTCTTGCTGGGAATGACAGTTTTCTATATTTTAACAAGCCGCTTTATGCCCTAAATAATCAGCCATTTCGTGAGTCTAGTGACAGTATGATGCTGATCCTCGGTTATGACATGTCTTTCAGGCATTCATCCGAGACTGGAAAAATTCTGACCGGAAAAATAAGAAATAGAATAAAAATAAAAAAAAAATAAAATATGATGCTGTTATGAAATAAGCGATAGTGCTCTGGTCCGAAAAAAGATTACGTACGAACTGTGTACTTTGCAACTTCATTAAGTTGCAGATAAGATAAGCTTAATTTTGGGACTATACGCTGAATTAAAGGGCAGTTGGCAACGCTAGTTACGACAAAACATTTCATGGCTTAAAAATAGTTTGGAAGGGATTACACTCACTGAGCGACTTATATTTTCGACTGTTTTTGACTTTTCGGCCTTCTCAGTCACGTAAAAAAAATTTGTGTATACACCTATCTGAGTTAGATTAAAAAATGCAGGGTATGGCAGAACATTCGTTGAAAAAGACCAAGCGTGCAAATACTTGATTATTTCCTCATCGTTTTGCCTTGCACGGAAATACATGCGACATTGAATGAGTTTCTGAAATGCAACTCATAATGTCGATATCGAATGGCCTGTTACAAATATGAAAACATTGACTCCAATCCTGATGCCTCCAGTAGCCTAATTAGTAGCACATTTTTAAGCCACTAATTATGGTTATTGATTACCAATTGAGATTCCAGCCTACATTTACGAATGTCGCCAATCATGTTTTGTCGACGTACGATTGAATCATCTCATTGGCATACTCGGGACCAGTATAACACATGGAAGTTGGTAAAGTTCATTTTGACGATCGAGTCGTGAATATAGCGCCGTTAGGTTAACTACTGGGTGGTGTAGCGCGGTGGGTCGAAGATAAGTGAGTTGAGGGAGGTCGGACAGTGGGTCGAGGGTGGGAAGTTTGAGGCAGATAGTGCAGTGGGTCGAGGATAGAATAGTTGAGGGAGATAGGGCAATGAGTCGAGGGTAAAAAGGTTGAAGGGGTTAGGAAAGTTGGGGGAAATAGGACAGTGGGTCAAGGATAGAAAGTTTGAGGTAGGTGGAGCAGTTGGCCGAGGCGAGAGTGCCATCAGGGCAGCGGATCGAGAATAGGAAAGTGGAGGGACATAGGGCAGTGGGTCGAGGATTTGCGTTGGGATGACTGTATAAACTTCACTGGCTCTAAAGTCCAAACCAGAGTTCGGCAAACTTTTGTCGTTCGCGGGCCACACATAAAGGTTGCAAGTCATTGGCGGGCCGCACGCATTTTTAGAAAGTTAAAAACCAAAGGAATGGCCAATGAATCGCATTTTTTCACCCAGATTCCAGGTAAATTTCAAGCAGTGCGCGAAGACTGATCATTTGAATATTTTCAGCGTCATAAAACCATTTGCGCTCAGCATCAACCTTTTTACGTTCTGTTGCCATATCTCTAATTATATAGTTCAGGGTTAGTTTCTCAAAACAAATTCTGTCACGTAAAGAATATAATCGTCAATAAAGCTGTTTTGGTAATATAATTCAGTGAAGCGTCGTGGGCCGGATCCGGATAACTGCAAACTCTTCCTTACCAACGAAACATTGCGATAATCCTAAGTGCTGAAAGAACTCAAAACTGAAACTCAAAAATACGATTTCAATTCATTCATTGCTAGTAGACGGTTTAAGAAGTATTTCATGGTTGCCGTAGTATATTAGTCAACTTAAAGGCGGGCAACGATGAACACAACTGAATTGATATGAGAAGACATTTTAAATAATCGGGTCGGCCATGAATTGAATATTTTACGCAACAGAAATCTCGTCATCCGCTGAAAAAGACGTTTTTTAAGAAGGGGTCTAATCCCGATGAGTGTTGCTCGGGAATTTTCTATTATGAACCCCCTCCCTTTTAGAAAACCATGATTTCTGCGCCCTCACAGATACAAAATTGACCAAGTCAGTTTTTTCTAGTAAACAAATAGCTCGCGGAGCCCTGAGGCTCCGTTCGGAGCACTTATAGCAGTGGGGATCAACGCCCGACAAAAGAATCATCTTCTTCCCCTCATCGGATAGAAATACATCACTCAAACCATACATATGAGCGGAATAACAGCGAATAATGTATAAAGATTGGTTTCACGTGTATTCTTATAAATGATGATTCACTTCCTCAATGTGTTGTTTGTTCCAACGAACAAACGTTCCTCATGTTCTTACCAACAAAAGCTTGAAAGCAGCGATACTGAAGCGCCATCTTACAGCAAAGCATCCAAAATTCATTAAAAAAACAATACATTTTTTTCCCGCCTATCAGCGTTTTCATACATAAAATACAATTACAGATCAAGGCTAGAGGTAGAAAAATATCTTCAAGTTGTCGTCTCCCAAATTAAACCTCGATTTGATATGTTGTGTATTATACACAAAGCTTATAATTTGCATTAGTCATAATAAACGCTATTATCCACAATTTTATGTGATAAGTTTCATATAATTTCGTGCAAGGAATATGCTAGTGTCGACAAGAGTCTTAAAATCGATAACTTATTACATGTTTACCAAATGCTTGGGTCGTGAGAAATTAGAAAAAAAATTTTTGGGTCGAGCTAAAAAGTAGTTGCGGACCCCTGAGTAACATTCATGGTTTGAGAATATTTATTTTTCGCTGTTCGGATAATACATGAATACTTGGCAAGATTTCTTGAAGAATTTTCAACACTTACGACTAAAAATTAGACACGCCCTTTATCTGAATTGTATGATTTAAATAAATCTCAAATAAATGATGAAACATTTACTCCGGGTACAATTAAATAATCAAATTCACAATTTAAATGGAACCTAAAAAATGCAAATTTTGTTTCGAGTTCAATAATAAAGCCCTCCTATTGGCAGCGATGATTTTTTTTGTATGCGTGTGCGCAGTTATCTGCACATTCAGTGCCCATTCGTTTTTGTGTAGGACCTTATTACCGATCAGTCGACCGCGATCCATTTTGAAGATTTTAGTCGATCGTGGTCGAAAGCAGATTGGCCACTACTGTTATAGTTGATAACTTATCATATATGAATATATATATATGAACTTCTCATTGGACACGTTTAGTGGACATAACGATCGTTTTGTTGTTATCTTGTTCTTGTTGTTCTTTGACACTTTTTGGACACCTAGTTGAAATATTAAAAAACCGCTTTTCTCTTTGATCACTGGACCAATTGCTTTGAAATTTTTAGTGGTTAAAGATAAAAATTTCCCCCAGAAGGCTATTACTTTTATTCATTTTAAATATTTCTGATAGCTCTGTGAGATTTGTTTTTGTTTGCTATGACGTCATTAAACGTTCTGCGGGCATCGGACGCCATTTTGTGTCCTACTGTACTGCTTCACTTGGTGTGAATATATTTGTAGACTGTAATCTGACGGTGCGGTAAATCGTACTGTACTGCGAACAGACGTGTCCATATATTTGGGCGTAGCTCTCTTGGTTTTATATATTTGTTTCATTTTTATTTTGAGACTCCATCTAGGGTGCCGAGTTAACTTAGTATTATTTACAATCTCCCTTCGCCATGAAATGTCATTTTGCTTTACTTTACATTGCGTAAGCCTATGTACAATGCTTATCTTAGTATGCGGGTTGAAAGGTTAAAAATTGGTAGCTATTGTCACAGTTTGGTTTTGCTACTGTGATTGTAAATAAGTCAGAAGAGTTAAGGGTTCCGGATTGGTTGTTTATTGTACGGCAACTTCACAATATAACACAGCAAAAACAGAGGACACAACAAAACGCAACCGACCTCCAGTCCAACGGCCGGAGAAAGAGAACAAGCGATATATTTTCTCTCGCACGTGTAATAGGTGGTTGGAGGTGGGTGGTCGTGTAATGGAGACCAACAGATCCGGCCAAAACTGCCCAAATCAAAGGCGTAGTACTATAATGATAGCATACAGAGGAATACAAAAATGTAATTGCACAATACAAACACGGACGTTATGGTTCGTAACACTATTGTCTGAAATCGTTCCCATTTCTTTTGTCGCGTACAATTTATGATTAACAACTCGAGTGTAAACAAAGAATACCTACATATGTCATTTACTAATTGTTTATCTTTTTAGTACCTAATCTGTTTGTGTCGTGGTCCCACCCAGTGATTTCCCTACACCCCCCCCCCTATAGGGGGTGAACACCCCCCTAAAATTTCAAACACCCCCCCTAATTTTGAGGTGCGATTCCACACTGTATTTCCTAACTCAAGTATAATTGTATTCAAATATAACGACTATGGTATATTTATCAATGTAGATGAGGGGTTCTAAACCGCAGTCTGCGGGCCAATTACGGCCGGCGTGACGATTTAAAATGGCCCGCCGAACTTGAATGAAATAGTTTAGCCCTTCATGTGGTACCTTTTGAGTTTTAGATACCGTCTATTGTTACATCATTATCACAGTTTGGGCACGTTTATTTCGTAACAATTGAATTATACCGGTATCTAACGTATACATATGGGTATTAGGATTATACACTGCAGTATTTTAGATATCAGCCGTATATTAGGAAAGCTTAAAGATGTCACAAAACGAAAACTAGGCACTGAAAACAGACGTTTTTTATATGAATGACAGCGTTTTTATTTCTTTATTGAAAAGAATCAAACTTCAGCGATTTGTCTTCTTACCAAAAAATATTTCAGTTCTGAAGGAATACAACATTATGATCAGTTGACGCGCGTATTTCAAAATTTAATTCATTGCTTAATTCATACAAAAGTCAAATAAACATGTTCCAAAAAAATGTGAAATGTGTAACAAAACAAGCCATAAGTAGCCATTCATACAATGCCAGATGAGCGAGTAACTTTATTAGTCACTATCAGTTGCAAATTACTTGTTGAAACGTAGTAGTATATATTTACGGTTGAAAGCCGTGCTTGTTTTCTATTTCCCGGGAATTCTATCAGCTAAATATTATAATTATTGATTTCATTACATAACAAACTGCGATGCTAGGTGTATCTAAAATCAAGCTTAGAGCCTATTTTGGTGCCTATTTCTCAAAATTTTCTCAGGGCGCGCTCAAGCGGTGACTCCAGCCGTGACGTCCCGTACTTTTCCTCGCTCCCCTTTTATGGCCCTACAATTTTATTCTGCTGTGGATTTTGGCTCGCCGTCAATCAACTTGGGGGCCCCTCATGTACATCGTTTCTTAAATACATACCATTTTTTTAAGAATACAAATGGCCTAGTTTTATCTCTAGTAGCAATTTATTCACCACCCCCTAAATTTCGAAACACCCCCCCCCCCCCCCCAAAAAAAGAAACGCTGGGGAACATACTGGTCCCACCCAACGTTGGTTAAGGTTATCAGAGCAATGCCGTGGAACTGCATGCTCTCTCTAGCTCATGTTTTTAATCTTTCTTTGCAATCGGGACAATTTATTGATGAATTTAAAATCGCTAAAGTTGTACCGCTTCTCAAAGGCGGAGACATGAAAAATGTCAAAAACTATAGACCGATTAGTCTGTTTTAAAATTTTTAGAAAAAGTAATGTACAATAGATTATTTAACTTTTAGAACAAAAGAATTTTTTCTACCATCAACAATTTGGTTTTCTTGAACCACCACATAACAGATTGCCAACTCAGATCAGTCAATCACAAGTACAACCTACGGTTCATTCGTAAATATTTAAGTTGCATATCCGCCATGTTAATATGGGCGTCGGTAAAATGAAAGGGTCCGATCACGAAATTACCTCAGTAAGTACCTATAGTAAGTATAGTTACTATTTATATCATGACAAATAGAATTATATGCGACTGTTTGGGTAAAAAAGGTTTGGGTAACAATATGCTCGTACTTTTCGGGTTTGATACATTGTAAACTATTGTATACTCTTATACATTGTGTACTCTTGGGTTTACAGTATATCCGGATGAGAAGTAGGCTACTGGATGCAAACTTCATCGATCTGCTCCCATCTAAAAAATACCTTGCTCTATATCAATTGTAACAATTTTCTAATCTGTCTCTTATTGTTTTTGTAAAAGAGCATTAACTAAAAATTTATATCGAGAATTAGGAGCTGTTACTTACTAAAATGGAAAACGAAGCTTCGCTGGCTTTAGGAAAGTGCAATAACGTATTTGATGAAAACAATGGCGGCGAAGCATTAATGGACGCGTATAATGCATGGGCCGGAAAATACGATCCCGATATGGAAGTTCTAAATTATAGCGCGCCAATGCAAACTGTGCGAATTGCGCTAAAATATTTAGGTTGCGATGAATCCATCAAAATACTAGATGTTGCTTGTGGTACTGGACTAGTTGGGTCATTGTTACGAAACAACGCCTTCAAGGGCCCACTTCATGGAATTGACGGCAGTCAAGAAATGCTTAAAATTGCACGGAAAAAAGAGACATACGATGAATTATTTACTCAATTTTTATCGCCTGGGAAGCCAATTATGACAAGTCGTGGTTTGAAATATGATGCAATACTATGTGCTGGAGGGATAACCAAGAACCATCTGGATTCTGAGCTTTTGATAAATTTCTTGGAAGTTTTGACAACAGGGGGAATAATGGTGTTTGCTTTAACTAAAGGTACATACAACGTGGAAGTGGAAAAAACTGTTGATAAGGTCTTAAAATCTCTCATTATTTCTGGAAAAATTGAAGAACTTGAACTATTCGTAAATGGAAATACATTCGAAGTTGGTGAAGATGCTGTACCAGAGAATTTTAGGAAGGAAGATTCGTCTTCAAATTTCAACTCTTGTATTTATTGTTACCAGAAAAAATGAGTAACACTCGCACAGTAGGCATACTTGCATATGTGCCAGTATTCGGTACAAAAGGATTATGTTGTGTTGTTTCATGTTCGTGCATTGCTATTAAGTAAATTATATAGAATTAATGTCTAACATGCGTATATGTGAGGCCGATGTTCTTGTTAGGATGCATTGGTGAAATAAGTCGCGATAGCGCTATTTATTTTTCCGAGCTCCCGGGTCCGATATTTCAATCCGAATATCTGCTTTTCGGAATTCATAGGATCACATTTTTCTGAAATGTTTCAGATATCGTCATTTGACTTTCGTATAGTTCAGGGGTGGCCAACACGTCGATCGCCACGTCTCGAGCAGTTGATCGCCTCTAAGGTTGAGTGAATTTTATTGAATTACCCCCCAAAATTGCCTCGAACCAGTTGTGTGTTTTACAACAGGAAGAATACAGTGGGCTGCCATGCATGCGCAAAAAACACATACAGTATTTGAGTCTGGGCAAACCCGATAAAGCATATTATTACGTAACAAATGCAAGTTTTTCCGCTCGCAAAGTTTAAAAATGAAGTGCCGGATATCGCGTGTCTAGACTGACAAACGATCCTACAATAACTTCCGCACTATGCGAAAATTATTGTCTCACGCCAAGAGTGGTGTGACAAATTTTATTCGCAATGGTAGCAGTGGTGTTCTAATTCTAAGCAAGCGAAGAATAGCGTAAAAAGAAAAAGTAATTCACAATAGATTAGTTAACTTTTTAGAACAAAAGAATTTTTTCTACCACCAACAATTTGGTTTTCCTCTGAACCACCACATAACATAACAGATTGCCAACTCAGATCAGTCAATTCCTAGTACAACCTACGAATAACTCTCCTATGGTTCATTCGCAAATATTCAAGTTTCATATCCGCCATGTTAATATGGGCGTTGGTAAAATGATAGGGTCCAATCACGAAATTCAGTATTTTCTTCCGGGAACATGACCTTCATGATAGTTAATCGCCTCGCCGCCGCAGAGTAGTTTACGTAAGCGCTGGTCAGTTATGGCTTCCTCCACCATCAAATCCATGCTTCCGAAAACAAATAACTGGCTAAGTTATCCCATACCCGACATGGATCGGTAACGGGACGAGAGGCCGTGGTTCACCATGCGATTAAGCCGTCTAATCTCCTTTCCTTTCCCCCAGAATAAATATGTAAATGCCATCCTTGATTCCTATCTTATCCATTTAATTAGGGTTGCCCTATTTTGTGCTCAAAGCAGGAAGCCTCCAAAGACCTCAGCAGTGATTTCTTCAACTCTAAATTTACAGATTTTACATTTAAAACCAACCCGACTGTCTTTATTGACCAAATTGTAGCAATTATCCGCTAACAAAGAAAACCACGCATCCACCTTCTGTAAGTATCGTTACGCTGCACAGCAACAACAGTATCGAGAACATGCTAATTGGTGACGTTCGTGTATTAAGCTGACTGGCATAACGCAAAAGCCGGACTTTTGGCTGACCCGTCGGGACGGAGACGTTGAAAAGTGGGACTGTCCCACCTAAAACGGGACGTATGTAGGATAAACTAAATGATCCTTTAAGCTGTAACAATAATAGTGGCAAATCTAAGAGGCATTGGATGTTTATTCTATACCAGCGTTTCCCAACCTTTTTTGGTCGTGGACTATTTTCTCACCGGCGAAACCCTTTGCGGACTCAAGGTGCGTTTATTGCAACCGTATACTCTGTGTAAACAGGCAATAAAACCGAACACAACAGAATTTTAACGACGAGAATTTAAGATGTATTCCTATTTTAACTTAATTGTGTTCATGATAATTCGCGGTTGCGTCGAATTACGACAAGATGAAAGCATTACTTCTCTAAAATACAATGGCAATCTGTGAACATAATAATTTGAGAATATATTGCCCGATTATACTTAGATTATTACCCATTTTTTGCGATCTTGCGAATTTGTTATCGCAGTTAGAAAAATCTTACTATCTACTATGAATTTTTAGAAAGTACAACTTGATTTAGTACTTATTAAAATATATTCAAAGTATATCAGTAAATTAAAAATACATATTCATCGCCATGGTTTATAATTAATTTTATTGTGATCATTTAAATCTGACAATTGCACCTGCATACTATTGCACCTATGTAATTTTTTTGTGTTTTACGGATATTTGAACCCATACTAACCCTAATCCATGGGTTTTAGCACCCGCATATAGATTGAACCCGCGGATATACTCGGATTAAGCGCAAACGACCTATTGCATCACCTGTTACCAAATTTTCAAATAGGAAATTGCTATTCTAATATTTGAATATTCGAATATATGCCCAGATATACTCAGTAACCAGTAATTATTGACTCGATTAATGTTATGTTACTAAACTTGTTTTTTTATGTAAATTCTAACGTAAATCGCAACGTGGCTGAATTTCTGGCTCGTTGCGGACTCATTCAAACGCTCCGCGGACTCATTTGAGACCGCGGACTCGGGTTGGGAAACACCGTCCTATACACATACTAACAAATATTACTGGATTTGAATAGCAAATTGTGGAACCCATGGATTGTTAATTATGATTCCATATTTGGCCATCATGATGAATCACCTCACAAATGACAACCTAAAAAATCAGGCTCTGCTAAGCCATGATGCCCACAATCATTCATAAAAAGTCCAAAAAATATTACATGAAAAGTATATTGTAGCGGAATTAATTGACTCATTATCAACACTTAAAACAGCACCTCATATGAAACAAGATCATCCTCAACATTTACCAACGAAACCATTTATTTTTATTTAGGCAACAGTATTAGTATTGATAATTACTGAAAAAGCAAAATTCAGGACTAAAAAGCTGGAAAGTATAATTATTCAAAGTTAAAGTAGCTTGTCTCTCCCATAATCCATATTGCACTCATATTCACACAACCCTGGATTGGAATACAGCTGAGACCCCCATTGATTTAAACCAATGTCCAAAGCACAAACACATGGCTATTTTTACTAAAGCCATGTTTCTTTTTGCCATTTAATTTGATACCATGATTAGTTTGGCAATCGTCACTAGACTATGTAACATTTCGATTTGTTTTCAAATATTATACAGTGATCCACTCCATAACGCAGTAATTTTCTATACATGATTCATTTAATCTTGCTGCATAATATTTCTCCATGTTTTCTTTGTTGAAAATAATCTATGACTATTTGTACCCACAGACATGTGACACGGAATCATCCATCAGCCAGTATAATGCCCAATATTCTGACCGTGGTATGTGTCCATGAACGTGGATCCGTTCATCCCATTTTAAAGTTCTTAAAATCGTACAACAGAAAAAGTGTGCCAGGCTAGGCGTCATCTGCAATATATCACAATGCTTTCTCAAGGTTGATGCGGTCGATATTGGGATTGCTGCTGTATTTGTTGTTGATGATACGACTGAGAATCTTGTACTCCAACCTGGTAAACATGAAAATTTTACCAAATTTTCACAAGTGTGGGACTAAACTAATTAGGGCTTAAGTTATACATAAAGAGCAATCCTTATCTAGATCTCTGATATTTATTGTTAAAGGTCTCATGGGGTTAGTAGTTTCTTACATACTAATGAACAAATCAGGTCAGGTAAATTATAATTTATATATATATTAAAGGTGATATTGTTATGAAGAGCATATTATATAAGTAGATCTATTTATCAATTGATTACATTTTGAAAATATCAAAACAAAATTATCAAAATATCAATATTAAAGAAATTTAGTTCAATGGGATAATATTTTAAAATAGTTGTCATTATAAATTGCCAAATGTGTATAAAATATTGATTGATAGATGAACCAAAGTAGATCAATTGATCCCATTGCAAAAGAAAATCCGTCTATATGCCTAGTATACCCAAATTGCATATTATCATACTTAAATGGCTCGGTGGCGTAGCGCATCGTGCTAAGCGTTAAGAATACGCTTGCCCACGCACCTCTGATTGCTCTGCGGGGCATCGCAGGTTCGACACCCATGTGGGGACAGTTACGTGCGAGAGGATTGCTGGTTCATGTAACCGCTGGTCGGTTATGGCGAAAACAAATAACTGGATAACTAATCACATACCCAACATGGACTGGTAACCGGCCAGGTTCTCCACAGGCTTAAGCCGTCTCATAGGCTTTCCTCTCCCCGGGATAAATATGTAAACCCTATCCTATATTCAACAAACCTGCTGCATCTGTACAGTTTCATGCTGAGACACGTCTGCAATATGAGCGATATGATGATCTTGAATTGTAGCAGCGTTGGTCACACTTGGATGGGATATATGATGGTTATTAGTAGGTTGTACTTGTGATTGACTGATTTGAGTTGGCAATCTGTTATGTGATGGTTCAAGTGATTTCTGATTGTTCAGCCTATGATGTTGTTGAAGTTGTGGTGATATAGGCGTTTTGAGCTGTGGATAAATGCAATATGACTGAGAATAGAATTATGCAGGTAATTCTCGTCAAAAAATATACAATTATGCGTTGACTAGTTATGTAGTAACAGTTGAAAACTGTGTTCCTTGCATAGCATAGATATACAATTTCATTTTCGTTTGGTTTCGAAATTGTTATAGTGAAAATTTATCTAAAAAGTATAATCGTGTCCGGAAATTTCGCCGCATCGGAAAATTCAGCACATGAAAAATCGCTGCAAGACCATTTTGCTGTAAAACAAGTATTTGTGATAAAAACAATTAGGTTTATTTAGGGTATGCTCTTAAATTATCACAAATACTTGTTTTACAGCTAAATGCTCTTGCGGCGATTTTTCCTATGTGGTGAGATTTCCTACGGCATAATTTCCTGTGGCCAAGTATAATATATGTTGGCCATTTGGTACCCATTCATGACAAATTGACAATACTGGCTTATTAATTACTCAGTAAAATTCCAGAATGTAGCTTCCAAAGTTTCAGAATGTATTTACAATAGCAAATTACTCAGTTTCATCTTATCACAGGCAATGAATCACATACCTGCGTTGAGTTTCTTCTAGGAGTCGATGTCGGCGGTACACTCTGCACTGTTCCATCTTCTAAAGTCTCTACTTCTATGACACGAGGTTTATCTATTATGCGAGCTGTTCGATCACCTACAGAAGCAAGTAATAGAATTTTAATTCATTTGTATATATCTTTCACTCACGCTTACGGATCCAAACAATGTACTCCATTCACTGGCATAACAATGTGGATTATGTTAGATAAATGGGCCAGTCAGTAAAAGTATCATCAAATGAAATATACATACCTTTCTCAACAACGCCAATAATCCAAGCCTGATGCCCCTCAACTCTTTTTATTTCAACACAATATTTAGCAGCATCTTCCCTTGGCATACAGATTAGCAAACCGCCTAATAAAACACATCAATACAATTTTGACATTCAAACAATGGAAATACCAGTAACTAGTTTGAAAAAAAAGTTTATTTAAACTTGTTAATTGAAACTTGCAAATATTTATGGCAGTCAAGGAATTCAGTTGGAATAAATGGCTGCTCATTTCTCAATTTGGCATAGAAACAATCATTAGCACACTGAAAAAGACAGTGAATATTAGGTTTCTAAATACACAGGTGCTACTTGAAGTTATAGCAATGGTTGACCAGAGAAGGCAAATAACTTCAAACATATTAAAAGTCCTGTCGGTCTAACTGTAGCAGTGTCATGAAGATTTTTCCTCATGTCACTCATGAAAGTCGAAATTACCAACACTGTTTACTTTCAACAGTTGCACGGGCAATGATCCAGGTTTCCATATCATACCATCTTATTTTTAACAATTCAAAAACATACCTGATGTTTCTGCAGATGTGCCTTGTAATAACCCAAACATATTCCCACATGCTCTGGCAATAGATGCCATTTTGTTGATACATGGTAGATTATGAATGATGAAATTGACTTCATTTCGTTGTTGTTTGACAAGGTTTTTAGCATGGCCGAGTATTCCAAAGCCTGTTACATCAGTTGCACCGTGACTGCCATATTGATGCATGAGCTGAGCAGCTGTAAATAATTTGAAAATTATTAATCAATCTCAATTGAATAAATGTTTTGCTTTTTTTATTAAGCGTTTTGATGCCATCACTGCAAACAAGGTTCTATAGGCCTACAGGCGGCAAGGAATATATCCAGTTCTGCATCACTCAGTCATATTAAAACATCCTGAGTAAAGCAGTGTGCATGGGCCCTGAGTTGAATCAGAGATGTATGTATGTATGTATGTATGTTTATTTTCGTCAAAACTGTAACAGTATCTGCATAATAATTAAACGGTATAGCAGAAACGGGATAAATGTTCAAGATATACACGGATGTGCGACATGCCCTTCCCAACAAATATAACTGCAGTTTAGGAATGCTGCGTTATAGTAGGACAACAGACATGAAATATACAAATAAAATTTCAGGACAAAGAGGTACGGCACCACAACAATATGTACAATATGCTATGTACTTGGGATGATAACATAGTTATGTTCAATGCATACTACCAATGGTGATCTTGATTACAAATAATATGAGATTCAGATCACTTCTGGTTTTTCTGCTTACGAAATTATGCACTAATTGTGACATAATAAAACATAAAATCATTAGGTGGCATCATTAACAAAGAGCATTATTGTTTTAAAGACTGCAAGACAAGTTTGCATAACATTTTCCATACTATAGAATAATAGTTTTTGAAAAATTACTCACCAGTTCGATTAAGTCGGGACATAATAAACATTGCATCTTGATATGCCTTTTCAATGTCTTCTTCTGTAACGATAAGTTTTATTCTGTTCCATTTATCTTGCACTTGTTCCAACCATTGATGAGCATTGCACGCAACTTGTGTACCAAGTGGTTTCGTCAATACCAGAACATCACCAGGAACTGCATTGTCCGGCCTGATAAATGGTAAAAACAATACCAATGATATGAACAAAACTTAACCAAAATTGAAATAAGGAATGGTCAATAATCTACAAGAATGTGAGCACAGTAGCCCACTAGCGTTAGAATCAGCTAGGATGACATCGCAGATTGAAATCTCTGGTTCAAATCCCATGCCCTACAACTCACACGGGGTAGGCCATGTCAAACTAGGAAGATTCTGGTTATTCCAAAAAAAATAGCCCTTTACATACTAGTGGCCACTTGCGCATAACCTTCTTCGGAGCGAACGACACATGAATATCATATAAAATAAATACTAAATAGCAAAATGAATAACAGAACAAATGTATAACTAAAAAGTCAATTTTGCTATCGTAAGAACAGTTGTATAAATGATAACAATACAAAACTTACATTATGTATTCGTTAGGTTGACAAACAGCAGTTGCTACACCACCAATAAGACACCATGGATTTAAGACAGTTTGGCCTCCAGTTACAGATGTTCCAGCTTCTTCCGCACAATCCTTTAAATGAAAAATTTAAAAATTCACAATTCCGTGACTGACTGTGACGAAATCCGCAATTATTCGAAGACTTACCCTGAAACCACGGATGACGAGAGGGACAATAGTATCTCTCTCCTTTTCTGAAAACTTTGAACTAACACCGAGCAGCATTAACATATTGTCGCATTCAATTGCACCCATGGCGTACATATCGCTCAACACATTGGCACATGCAATTTTGCCCTGTAAAAATGAAAACACACGGTCACGGTAAATCACGGTCCCCAGCATATCTATCTAAAAACAAAATTAGCTGGATGTGACGTGATATAAGCTGTACTAGAGGCATTCCATGCTCGAAAAACGAAAAAAAATTCAACCATTAAATTTGATCACTTATGATATTCCCACTGTTGTTAAGTTGACAATAATATTTTCTTTGAACAGTTGAACAAAACATTTGAAGTGAATCATTATGCTGCAACTTACCATCATGTACGGATCATCGACTAATGGATAGAAAAAATCAGTAGTTTGTAGAAGCGATAAACCTCCAAACCTTAGTGGTATCACACAAGTATCCATGCCAATTCCTGCCAAATACAAGCATATTCAAAAACAAAAATGATAACTTACCTAATTTCTAAATGGAATACCAAATGGCAATTAAAACAAGTAAATGCTAATACCAAGAAAATTAATGTAATCTGGATAGTTAGAAACCTATCAGAAACAGGACTGAACATAACAAAAAATTTAACAGAAATGAGAACAGAAACAACTTGGCTGTCAAATGAAGCTTGATTCAAAAGAAATGTGCTTTCAGAAACAAAAAATTACATTCAAATATTTAATATTCTCAATCACAATTCAAAATCATAGTAATTTTAATTCTCAACAATCCATATTTTGGGATATTTAGAAAATATTAGTTAAAAGTTACCCAGACGAGGCATAATCATTCCTCCCATAAACTGCTCTTCTTTGTATTGTGATTGCCCCAAGTCTTCAAGTAATTTATGCAAAACATCGTTGGGCACTTTGCAACCTCCGCCATGAAGACCTACAAATATAATAATTTAGCTATTAGAGAATAGACATTCAAATCTACGGATTCTAATTTATTTCAAACAGACCGATATCTCCTGCTTTGAATTGCATAAAATTCCATAGCGTTTTACTGATTTGATACTTGGTTTCGATATTGACTTAAAATTGATCAACACAATGGAAGTTTACTTACTAGTATATTTTGTTAATCTGAAGTTTTTGTCCAACCCTTGAAGAACTGGATCAAACTTTGATCGCAAAGCCATGGGGTGAATATAGACAATTGTCTATGCTTTGCGATGGATAGAAAGCTGTCGGGAAAAATAGGTTAAATATTAGAATTTTGTTTAAAAAGATGTGTAGAAGCATCACAGAAAGAGAAACTTCAAAATTTTGAGAATTTGCATGAGAACTCAGGATTCACGTCAGAAGTATGTGTCTTGCGACATTTAACTATACAATCATTGAATAGCAGTCACTCTTATTAAGGAATTATTCTAACTTGTCATATTTCATTGATTAACAGCATTTTAGTCTGATCAGTTTAAAGCCAGTAAGGAACAAACATTCCTTGCGAATTTGTGGAAAGCTGCCTGTGAATATCCAATTGTGGATTACCTAACAAATGGATTTGTCAATCAACACACAACTACAATATTAGAACAAGGCATTGTAAATTGTTGTGAATATGGTGAATAATAATGACGTCTAGTGTCTGTACATTCTTGATTTTGGTGGAGTAGGTTCACATTGACTTATAATAGTGCTTTTGACCAGCGAACTGTACTGTATGACTATGGTACCAGACCCCGCAAAAGTGGGGTACGGTATGACAGTACGAGGGGACGGGCGAAGAAACATCTGGGCCGACTGATTAGCGCAGCAAAAAGTTTGTAAACCGAAATTACAGAAATAAGATTATTTGAAAATGGCCATGCACGACGCTGGACTGTCACCAGCGCTCCCAGAAAAAACCCAACTTACAGACTTACCTTGAATACTTGGAATGTACGCATGCGCTAGTAATACCGGTATTAATTTGGCAGATTTCAGGATTTGGTGGTGCCGTGGTGTGGCAGTTGAGTTTCATGGTCATGTCAGCATGCTGGCATGTGTCTAGCGTTCAACGATACAGACTATAAAAACCCAGTGCACCGCCAACCTTGCCTGGTGACTTCCGCATTGCGACCATTATCAGCATACGCTATTATCCAACACAGACTTATGGGCCGTCCATAACGAGGTCCAGAAATCCATGCCAAACGACAGACGGATAAATTAAAGCGTCGGAGCTGTCAGAGCGTTAATTATATTCACTCCAAACAGCAGTCTCCGAATGTGGCCTGCGCTGCCAAACAAACCGACATTACAAACCAATGTTAACCATGCTTAACCCTAAAACAGCAGACACACTTACTTTTTAACAAATGGTGATCCCGTTGAACACCGAGTACCGCTTGAATTTATTTGGGTGCAAATATTCCAGCCAGGACCTTCCTTCGTCGAAAATGGAAAGGCCTCCTCACGTGCGCTTTTTCAACCCACAATGCATTTCCTAGCTCTTTAACCAATCATATTGCTCATAGAGGTTGGAACGTGATCTACACTATCCTAGGGTTTGTTCATCGTCTGGTATGGAGGGGGACGGTAGTGTTTTGATATTAGCTGTTCTAGCAGATTTACACAAAATCGAACTATACGAGGTTTTATGCATCGAAGAGTACTGATCTATGCGCCATATATGTTCAGTTAATCACGATTTATATTATGATGCTAACAAGTTTACTAAATTTAATAGTATATCTGACGACTGGTATGTGTTGAGGAGTTTTTAGGAGAGTTTCCCCGAAGAAAAGTGATACTCTCATTCTCAGAAGCCAGGGTAAGTCACCTCAGGGTAATGCACAGGGACCACTGAAAAAAATTATAGTGCTACAGAAGTAATATTAAATATGAATATATATTTTAATTGGGTGTATAAACGGTATATACAGGCGAAGCTCCCAACCGGGCGATCGTAAATACGACTTTTGAAAACTTAGCTGGATGGAACAGCATTAATTTTCACTGTTTTTGCAAGGTTTTTAACTGTTACATGACATATGACCCGGGCTCATAGAAAAATCGTTGCCTTATTTCAATTAAATTGATGCCAGCACGTTTATTAGGCCGAACAGCAGTTAGAACGTATTGTCGCCTATTTAAGAAATTTCAGCTTGTGTTCAACCAATAATTCTTGGCATCTCCTGGCGTGTTTTGATGACCCATTTCAAGGGAGTGATGCTTAAATATATGGGTACGAAGGTGGGTAACTACGCCAAGAAGCCTAACTTTATGAGAAGATTTTAAGATTTACGAGAAGATTTTCAACGCCGTTGTGCAATACGCCCTCCTTCCCCAGACAAATATGTGTTTGTTTCTTGGAGAAATGTTAGGTAATGCGACGGGACGTGACATTCATCTGTCCCAAGCGGAGATTTAACTTTTCCGTTTCGCCAGTTGTGTGAGGTTATCGAGAAGATAATGGACTTCATATCTTTCCTAGGACATATAAAGTACAATCAGGTGATATCAAGACGCAGTATATAAATATATATGAATTCGACAAGGAGAGAAGGGGTTCCATTACATTTGAACCCACGACAATTGCACCTGCATCTTATTGCACCCATGAAAATTTTTTGTTTGTTTTACGGATAACTATGCGTTTCAGCACCCGCATATAGATTGAACCCGCGGATATACACATGGGTTCAGATGTACCGTCACCGAGAAAAGGATTTGTCTACTGATCATTTTTCGTAAACAGACAGTTATGGCGGCATGACATAATGCATGCACAAATGATATGGTTAGGATTTATTACCAAATGTAATCCACTCTATTAGCTATAAATACAAGGTTAGAATAATGGATAACTAACTGCCTTAGATTATTTTCAGCGATCTAGCGGAACAATTGTAAATGTGGGGATGGGGAAGAATCTTGGCAGAAAATTTCAATGGTTAGCATGTGTTTCTAATGACACACTTTCAGATGATGATTCAAATGAGAGTATCGATTATGAATATGATGACGCTGTTCCTGGTAAAAGACGTAATTCCCAGAACGACAATCATAGGATGGCGCCTCAGGAGCAAGAGCCAAAAGTTATCCAAACTAATACGTGTTTTGCAAGCTCGAATGCGCCACAGAGAAAGAAAAGCTAATTAATTCAACGATCGTGGACCACTGTTTTGTTCTGCTTCAAATTTGTGACAAAATAATAATGGTAATGTGCATACATCCCGTCTTCAGTATTTATAAGTATTTACTCTTTTATATTGCTTTTACGAGACGAATAAACATACATACATACATACATATTGCAATCCGATCATAAACCAATATAATATACAAATTATTGAGAAAAGCAATAAATTTTTACACAAAAATGGAATTAGTCTTAACACAAATGCTACAAAAACTACTACTGGCGTGTTTTCATGGCGTCATTCAAAGTGAGGGCAGGGCGCCGACCGAAAGATTGAAACGAAAGTCTGAAGATAAAAGAAAATATATATTATATATACTAAGGCAGCGTTTTCCACAATGTGTTCCGCATAAATAGGATCAAAATTACGACTAAACTAATCGCCATGGCGATATCGGGATTGTGAAGTTGTCACCCAACTGGCGGCCGTTTAATATCGCGTCACCGTCGGCCTGAAGCGGACTAACTTTTTGAGGGTAATGGCATTTTCGTTAGCCGTCGGCCTAGCTTTTTGACTGACTGTCAAGTTCATTATCAAGTTTACGGCAATCTTTTTAGTTTTGCTATATGCAAACGTGTAGGCCTAAAGAATAAAGGCAAAAGGTCAACTCTCCTTCCTCTATATCTGCCTGGTTTTACTTTAAAATTCTGAAAAAATCACTCATGTTCGCTTAACTGGATTCAGCAGATAAATACAATGCAGCTCACGAAATTTCTGCAAGAACTTCTTTATCTCCATTGTTATGTAATATTAGAGGCAAACACTACGTAATAGAAAGTAAACGACATGGCAAGGTAAAATAAATTTATTGATTCATAGGAAACAATAAAACATTTTAATAAATGCAATAGGTAAAATATTCATTTTTTAGTTATGTTTAACACATTTCTGCTAGTTTTCGCGACGCATTTGGCAACTCGCCACGGCGCAGCGGTTGGGAATCGCTGCATTACATCATTTTTTCTCATCAGTTTTTTACCCTTTTATTTTTTTGTGTTCCGCGAGGCGAGATAAAGAGAGCGTAAGCATTGCGTTTGGGAAACGCTGTACTAGGGGACAGTCCAGTCAATGCCAGAGTTGTAAAAACCAGCACATTGCCAACTATTTTTCTGCTCCTAAATAAATTGCATTCTAAGGTTTCGCAGAGTAACGTGATCAAAATACCTTTCACGCTAAAATTTCTTTCTCGGATGAATACATAACAGCAAGTAAATGTAAGATAATCTTGATTTAAAAACTATATCTTTGTATTTCAATAGATATATATGGAAAATCAGAGTTTTAAAATAATTTTGAAGAATGAGGTAAACGAAAGATTTAGGGGACAACTTATGTGCATTTTTAAATATTTCGACTGAACAAACTAACTAGAGTGCAAAAATATGTTCTATATTGAAATTTGTTTGCATTTTAATGCGTCTTTTTAGTCATAATTGGAGTCCTGGATTGGGCCATAAAATAAGTTTGACAGTCCCAATAATATTTTCAGGCATCGTGGTATACATACCGGTCATGTTACAGAGTCTTGCAGATTGAACAAAATACATACAGCCTGGCCCACCCTGTCGCTTACATATATATATGTGATATCTCAGAATTACTCCTTTCCAGACAGAAGTTGTACAGTGCAACATCTGCTGAATCTCCCACGGGATTCATGGTGTCGAAAATTTATCAGAAGTGACCAGAAAGTATTGTATTCACCAAAGATCAGAATTTCCTCATTGCTAAAGATAAAGGGGCTAAGATAGGGTTAGGAGAAGTAGGTACAAAGTGTGAATACCAGACGCCGCATAAACCAAGGAAATAAATTAACTAACATGGTAACCTTCACCCAGTATACAGGCGTTGAACTAGCTAACAGATAACAAACTGTTATCCGTCGACCTGTTCTCTGCGACCTACGGAATAATAATGGGCCGTGTCATTCACCTTGATATGGCCAATGAATTAAAAAGTCTCTGATAATTTCGGGGCTCATCCGTCGTTGAATTCGTTGACGTAGAGTCTACGTCAACGATTTCAACGAGACCATGTAGACCATGGATGTGCAACCTTCAATACAGAAGGGCCACGCACAAATAACTGGGTGGAACCGCGAGCCGTACCTTTATGTACCATAGGCTTTCTCGTAGTTGCATGCACAAAAATTTGGGGTATTGATCTTATGACATGCGTTGTTCGTTTCGCACTACCTAGCTGTAATTGTAACGTCATATGCATTGGTATTCAATTGGACTCGAGTGTAGGTATAGGGCTATTTGCTGAAGAGATTGGAATTACTCGCACGTACCAGATTAAACTAAATGACTCATTTCAAAATTGGCACTTCCCCTCGGGCTCGGGCTTTGCCTTGCGGGCTGCAGGTTACACACCCCTGACGTCCACAATAGAGAGGTCAACAGGGCGTAGCCAAAAAATTTCAAAGGGGGGGTTCTGAATTTTTTTTTTTTTTCGCCAAGTTAGATCGAAACTGCTAGCGGGTCCGATCGAACGCTGGAATACGCGTGTTTTCAGTAGTCTTGAGGATCTAAAAAGCATTTCAAGCTACGGAAAATTGCTATCTATGATACAGAAAAATATTTTATTTTTTTTAACATTTCAAAAGGAGGGGGGGGGGGTTCGACCCGGGAAAAAAACCCTGGCTACGCCACTGCCTCAAAAGAAGTATGAATTATAAGAATGAAGATTTGGCTAGGCTAGGTTAAGTATATACTGTATGTGTAAATGTTATTAGTATATTCAGCGGATCACACGAGAAAGAATTACAAGAAGGTTCGGTTGTTCAGGAACACAATGAAGATGTTGTTTCTATAAATATACATTTGGGTGGAAAATCATAATTTGGTATTGAAGCAATGGTGCAGCTATATGCATGTCTCAGATTTTTGAATGATGCCGACGCTTAAAAAATATAGAATTTGTCGCCATTTTGCACTTTATGACATGCTTATTTTGGTAGCATTTAATCATTTTAATCACTTGAAATAAAGTATCCATTTATCTAACTGAGTGTCCTTGATATTGTCAACACAATTTAGATACGTACTGAATAGCATTTACAAGTATGGCCTTATTTAAATAAACAAATTTGTAAATTAGAGATGACTTTCAATGTTATTTTATATATATTTTTGAAATTCAATACGCTCGTTTATGAAAACCGAAGAAGCCTATCACTACCAACATAACTTTGTTAAATGCAAAATCATACCAAATGAGAAAAAATGACATTGTTAAGGATTACCGTTTTTCCAATGTGATTTCATATTCGAAATGTGGATGAAAGGAATCTTAGTAATTTTAAAGTTTTATATATTAAATTTATGTTTTGTGCATTGAATTCAGCCTTTCAACTCTATCAGGTGTTCAGCCACTTTCAGTTAAACCATGAAAACGGAAGAAAACAAGGCTTGCCGAGATTGAACTTTTCCGTTCTTGCCTTTTTCATTTGAAATGACGTGTACGTAGTACGTACATACACGTTTTAGTACGTAGTCTGTTATAAAATCGACCTTATCAGTGCATAATAGTCCGTGGCACAGGCAAAAAGTTCGTTTTTATATGCCTTTTCTACATTTTTGTTTTCCAACATTTTTATATTTGGTGATAAAAAGAGGAAAGATTTAGTATAAACTTTACATCTAACAAGCGCTTTAATATCTCTCGACGTATTGTGTGTTCATCCCATTTTGTTGATTACTGCCATTTAATAGCATCCTACGTATCTCGATTTTGGCTGTGAAACTGAAAAAGTAGTTTATATTTAAATAGTGAAAAGTTTTGCTACGTGCCAAGAAAGCAAACAAGGAAGACAGCGTCAATACCACTATCATTGACCGGATTCACGCCTCTGGCGCAGTAACCAATCGACAATGAGGACGTCAAAGGCGTAAAGAGCCGGCTTTTTTCATTTGTTGCATCATTTAGGTTAGGTTTTGTATTGTTCCGTTTTAGTCAGAGAGCCGAAATAAAATGGTTAGGGGGAGGATCTAGTTTTGTACGTGATAAGTCACAGGCGATCAGACCTGTGGCCTAGATACAGTCAGTGTTGTTTTGTTAGTGTTGAGGAAAGAAGGTGATCACTAATAGCAGAATATCGTAAAAACATACCGTGCCGCTGTACCGCGAAAACAACAGAACTGCAGAATGAAAAACATAAAACTAAATACAAGAACCGTGGATTTTAGTTGTTCAACTTGAAGCTAGACTCGCGACTTGACTGTAATGGCTTGAAATTTTTTTTCTATTATAGTCTACCGGTACTGTATGAAAACATATTTAAATTTTAATAACAGGTGGAAATATACTTTAAAAGTGATGAATTTCTGCTCCGGTACTAATTTTCAATATTGCAAGTTATTTAGTTATCGTTCTTCTTGACGTTGGCAGCTTGGTGTTTTTATTTTAAAGGATATCTGCATATGTTGCTGTGTGGACAATATTAAAGTTGCTTTTATATATTATACCAAGAACAAGCAAATATGAGGTCAAATATTCTTTGTAAATTGGCTCATAGAGCTGTCCGAAGTTCTTCCTTTGTTAAAAATAACACCAGGTCTTCATCATCATTCAATCAAAAGGTAAACCATTACTTTATCTTTGCACTTTCAAATTAGACTAGTCAAGCTTTTTGTTATTACTGTACTGTCAACCATGACTTTACATGGATATTTTGAATTCTCATTATAACAATAATAAACCAGCCAGAATGGGTGATAATATTTTAAGCTCGATAGCTATTAGTTTAATCCAAATTTTATTTTTTTCAAGTTTTGCAAGCAAAGCAAAAACCAATATATACTATGAATATGTGAAAAATTTAAAATAGTCCCTAGCACATATTCTAGAAAATACAGTTATTTTTTTGAATCCTATGCATATTTTTCATCATAGTAAGTTTTGTTTTCACTAAACCAAGTAATTATTGTTATTGCCAATTTTCCTGCGTTAGTTTCAATATCACATCCAATATTTTATTTCTCACTTATTTTAATTTGCAGCAAGACATTCATTTTGGATTACTCTTCGACATAGACGGAGTGGTTTTGCGCGGCAAAAAACCTATTCCTGCAGCACAAGATGCTTTTAAAAAGATTGTCAATAATAAAGGAAAATTTCGCGTCCCCGTAGTCTTTGTTACCAATGCGGGTAATGCACTAAGAAAATGTAAGGCTGAACAGCTGAGTGAAGCACTTAATGTAAAGGTAGTTGTTCTTATTTGAAAATGGAAATCAGTTTTTCTTTGTTTCTTTGAATTTACTTGAAAATATTTGGCGCTCCAGAAGTATGTGTACCAATATGGAGGTAACTAATTTTGTTCGCCTATTTTACATCAAGTTGTGTAAAAGGACTGAATCCTATGGGCAGGGCTCACTTGGCTAACACAGATGGTTTTCGAACTTGTAATACAACTAAAATAAGAGAAAAAAATGGGATAAAATTATGGCCTGACCCTAACCTGGTACATATACTGCGGTAGTATCATATACTTTATATAATGAACAGACCAGTTGCTTTTATTTCAAGAATCAGAATGTTCTATTATCTATTCCGAACGCCAAGTATCTTATTTGTGGTGCGCGATCTATTCGATTACAAAAATTTTAAAAAACATACCGGTAACCAACTAATGGCAGTGAAAACTGGTAAATATGTTATAATACTGGAATTAGGTATGAGTTTTTTCTGTTTCCAGTTGTATCATTTCATTGTGAAATAAATTATGAAAAATATATGAAATTTGGTTCTAGGGAATGAACTTTTGTTTCTAGAACTCCATTATAAACAGTTAAATGTCTATCTTTCAGGTTTTAGAAGAACAAGTGATGCTCTCGCATAGCCCTCTGCGATTATTCAGACAATTCCATAATAAAAGACTTCTTTTATCGGGACAAGGCCCTGTTGAAGATATTGCAAAGAATCTAGGTTTTACTAATACTGTCACGATTGATGATGTGAGAGATCATTTCCCAATGCTTGATATGGTTGATCATACAAGACGTCCAAAAACAGTAAGTTAAAGAATTTTACTACCTTAAATGAATGGTATGTATGTTGATATACTTTTAAAGTTTTAATATTAATATTTCATTTAGATCAAACTATTGATTCAAAATAAAAAATAAAGGTACATTTATTGAATGAACCTAGTTGTACTTTTCCTGATGTTATTGATATGGTTTAATACAAATTTGTAAATTTAATATCACTTCCAAGGTTATTTTATTACGTACTCCAGAAATACAATATGTGTGTATAACCTGATTCAGCAGAAAGCAAGTCTTAAAGTCTTATCTAATTTTCATTTTCTAGTTCAAATATCCATCTTTTGATGATTTTCCACCTATAGAGGGTATTGTTCTATTCGGAGAGCCAATCAGGTGGGAAACCAACCTGCAAATCATAACAGATGTTCTTTTAACGGATGGTACTCTACGAGGTCCAGTACCTTTGCCAGATGTAAATAAGCCCCATTTACCAGTACTTGCTTGCAACATGGATTTACAATGGATGTCTGAAACACATATGCCAAGGTAAAAAAATACATTACCTACTTTGTTTAGTTAGATAAATACAAACTAAAGATTTCTGAGTTGTTGGAAACGAAGTGGACCAATATGCTGTTTTGCTAAAAGGTTTTTATTTGAAAAAAATCGCTTATCTTCATAACTATAGACCAGGGGTGGACAATTACTTTTTTGGGTGGGCCAGTAATGAAAAAAAGACTTTGATACTTGGCCGGAAAATCTATGAATAAAAAAAACAGTTTGTTCACAAAAGCTAGGTCGACAGCTAGGCTGGCGTTTGTATAATAATAAGTAGGAGAATGTAACAATTGAGGTCATTATGACGATATTTACAACGGAAATTAATATCCATGAAAACCATAGTGGTAATTTCAGCAGACCGGATGAATGGGCCGGATGAAACACTTCGGTGGGCCGGATCTGGCCCACAGGCCGTTATTTGCCCACCTTTGCTCAGGTGTTTCTCAGCACATTTCCCATATAACTCCATATGTATACCATGTTTTCACCATTCAGCTGGAATTTCGGGTACAAAGTAATTTTTCTAGCGTGCTTTTATATTTAGGCATTGCTCTTTTGTGTTATGTTTGATATCAATATTTTTATAAAATCATTAACCTGGCAAGTGTCGGTGTAACATTACATCAAATTATTTGATGATCGTTATGTGGCATTACTTCAAGTTTGCGTAACCCGTTTATCAATTCAACTTACTTTTACTTCTAAAATACTAATATTCGAAACATCTTCAATTATAAATTATTAACATACCGGTAATAACCAATTCATAGCAGGATGTCATTGCTAGGTTATCTTATAAAAAAGATATATTAAATTTTCTACTAACTGATGGCTAATGATTTCAGTTGCTGGGATGATTTATTAGGATTTGTGTTTACTCAATGATTAATATGTATTTGACGCCATGTGTCAATTTGGTCATTTGAAGGACGTTTTATCATAAAAAAGTGTGATTCATTGAACTGATTTACTATCGAATGACTATGCAAGATTTATAAAACTGCTTAGACCTATTGCATATACGTAAGGTGTTACATCATTCAGTAAATATTTTTGGACTCTGGTAATTTTTGTAATTTGTTGTCGACGATTGAAAGACGATTAAATGGTTGTTCAGTAAGGAAAAATGAAATCTCTACATATGCTCAAATTTTCTCTAACCAAATGGGACTTATTAGGTTACCCCTAACCTGGCTATTTTGAAAAAAATAATCTAAGGGTTTTCTCAATAATTATTTTAAAGAGCAAGTTTATAGAGAATTCTACTCACTGCTGTAGGATGTCTGACTGTGGCACTTCTTCGTCTATATATTTTAAGCATTGCTTTCTATTTTTGAACATGGTTCATTATGACATCACCATTCTTTTTTGAATGTCAACTGTATGCAAATATTTTGTGAAATATAGTTTCCGTTTTTATTATTTTCCAAACATACAAATAGTGTTTTTCATTTCATCTTAAAAAAATTATTCATCTTGTTTTTAGATTTGGGCATGGAATGTTTTTACAATGTTTGGAAAGTGTTTATTTGAAGCTTACTGGCCAATGTCTCACATATTCTGCACTTGTCGGAAAACCTAGTGAAAGCACTTATTATTACGCCGAACAACTTGCATCAAAAGAAGCTGAAAAGTTAGGACTCGGCCTATTGCAACGTTTATATGCAGTGGGGTACGCTAGTTTTTAAAGGACTTGAAATTAAATTTTTATATTGCTGAATTATACTATTTATACATATTTATTAGAAACTTCTATTTAATTGCAAAAAAATTTTGATTTTCAGATCAATATTTTTTTTATATTGGAAATGTTTTATTCACATTTCGTCAGTCTGCATTATTCTAAACTTTATTAAACTCTTTACTCGAACTCCCGTAGTAGACTATGTGTACCAGGTTAGAGTTATCATTTAATTCCGATTTTCCCTATTACGAGTCGGGGACTGTCTTTGTTAGCCAAGTGGATATACCTCCTGCCCATAGGTTTCAGTCGCTTCATACAACTTGTTATGAAGTAGGCAAACAAAATTAGTGTTCTCCATATTGGTAAACATAATTCTGGAGCGTCCTTTACTCTTGCACTATCCCTGTTGAAATAAGTGATTGATCAATTGATGTTATCGTAGACATCTGTTTTTGATTATCAGGGTTTTGATTTTAATTGGACACATCTGTTCGGGTGTAGCATTGATTAACTGGAGATAATAGGGTCAATTGATTACCCGTTTACATACTACTTTAGTATTGATTGTGCGTTATCTACTTCAGAAAGGTTCAGTAACCCTAATTCTAATATTAGCAACAATAGAAATATGTCACATGTAGGTGTCACTACGCTTTCATGACAAAAGGACGAATGTAAAAATATTGAAAAGTTTCATTTTAAAATATTACAAAGATATAGGTCATTTTCTCAACATCTGCTTTTAAAGATTTACCATCCTTTAGGCTTAACTCTAAGTGGAATAGTATATTTTTACCCCCTTTAATTTACATGTTTCAATTTTCTGAAGTTTTGCGGTTTATATTATAAGAATTTTCAATTTATATTCATATAGTTTAGGCAGTTCTGGCCAAAACTCTTTTTCTGAAATTTGAATGTTTGAATGAGAAGATTTTTGCTTGTATATCATTATGTGCGTGTTTAATATTTTTTTCTTCAAGGTTTTTTTTTTCTTTATATAGTGATAATCCAATGGCTGATATATACGGCGCCAATCTTTACAATAAGAAATTGAAAGAAAATGAAGAAGATTCTGCTGAACAGCAAGCTGCTGTAGCCTTATTGCATTCTCAACAACCATGGCGACAAGCTCATGCTGGTTTGAGGAGCCGAAGTATAACAACAAGTGCGAGTGCCGGCAAGAAGACAGTCTCTAATTTCCAAGTATGTATCTTTAAATTTTTTTATATACACTGTTTTCAGAATTGATTGCTAGAAACAACAGGTATCAGGTCATTTGGGTTCGTTCATGCCCTCTGAAAATATCTAGATGATTATTTGAGTATTACACATTCCTATTGTTGATGAATGATGTATTATAATAGTCTTTCATTTGTATTTATTTGTTTTATTTGAGTGTCGTAGGTAGACTTTCAATAGTTCACAGATGTTGTTATATATAGCCTAAACATTGTTACCTCAAATAGCACCCAAGATTAGCACAAAAATGAAACTTTGTTTTGAAGTACCGGTACCTATTGTCTTCTTCCGAACAATACTATTGTACTGACTACTTAAAAGTGAAATATGACTACAAGTGATTCTCTTTCACTTTGGTATGCACTGACAAAGAGAACACCACTGTATAGTGTGATTTCTACCTATATTGATGTTCGCTTTAAAATTGCTCCCAGACAAAAAATAATTAATAGCAATAGTTAACAAAGTTGGTAATGCAAAATAACTAAAGAAAATTACTTTTTGAAATCATTTTCAAATAGCAGAATGTATGTTACATTAGAATGAATAACGATAACTATGCATAATACTTCGATATTTTTTCAGGCATCCGTTGAAGATTGTCATTCAGTTTTGGTTTGCACTGGCGTGTATTCTCAAGAAGTGAGTAAAATCAGCCTAATATAACAGTATATTCTTTTTTTAATTTTATCCTAGCGTTTTAGAAATTATTCGTTGTTATACACATGGAAGGTTGAATTTCAAAATAAACATTTGGGTAATTGGATCAATGTAAAAAGTATTTATTTGGGTATTTTTTTTCAATAAAAGACAAATAATGTGACGTAACAGATTGACTCCATACAGTATATTCCAATGATCATTAACATTGTATAGACATAGCGTCATTGAAGGAAATGAATGGAGAATTGGTATTTCATGAGCATATTTTAAATAATGAATAAGTTCAAAAGACTGTCATATCAATGTCCTGATATCCATATCTGACAAAAAAATAAAATTTGCTATTGAAATAAATGATCATCTCAAATATTCACACATTTCAAATGTTATCAATTTGAAATTAATTTCCAAAAATCAATTCAATACATTATTCCATGTGAGAAGAAATTATATGCAATAATACTGGCACGGAAACTGCCGGTTACATTACATTTAGGTCTTACTTACAGTAACAGTGCAGTATTTACTGAATGTTGATTCATATTCTAAAATGCTTATATTATGTCAGTTACCTTTCAAATATTTGGTGCCTGTCTAGTGTGTAAAGCATTAGACTCAACTATAGTGGCATGTGAGGTAACCTCTCGTCTAGGGTATAATAAATTGGGGGGCAAGCTGAACTAGGAAAATTTTGATCCTTTCAAACTATGATAATTCCTCATCTAGCTTGCTCGTACATAGCCTTGTTTAGGGCGAAGATGTAAAAATATTCTGTTAAAAATCTTCACAAAGCCATCACAATTGATAATTGTTTTTCACAGGGAAGCAGTTACGACGTTCCGCCTGTATTTCATGGGCCACGTGATATGGATTTTGATGCCAACTTGTGTCAGCCCACCTACATTACTCATGATTTAAACACTGCCATAGATCTCATATTTGATAAAGAAGGCTTTAAATGAGACTCGGTGTACTACTGGTGTTACTGTTTGGACCTGTTCGCTGAAATGGTATCAGTTTTGACGAATCTCAATTTACGATTTGGGCATTGACACATCGTTTTTATGAACATATTTTTCCTCTATTGCAGTAATTCTATTGACTTGGCGTAGTATCTTGTCAATTTCAATTTTATTAAAATTACTTGTAATTGCCATCAATTTTACTGATGCTTTTACATTATGTATTTTTGTCTTTAAATGTTTAGTATCTGTAATTAAATGTTATTAAGTAGAAATAATTATTTTTACGAGTTCTTATTCTTTTAATAATAATTTGTGTAACATCATGGCCCTGATGGCAATTTATTTTTTGAAGAAGTTTTTTGATTGTTAAAATTTCAGCATTTCTAGGTGAATTTTTTCTTATGTTCTTTTTGTTTTAGAAAACTATATAGGATATTATTTATTGTGGTATTGAGTGACAATAGCTTATACACTATTGTCTATGATTATCATAAGTATTTGCACATCTTAGCAAATTTATTTCATTTGCTAATATAAATATTGTTGCAAATGAATATGATATTTTGAAATAGGCCATATTTCAAAATTTGGTTAGTTATTATATAAATTCGTATTTATAATAGTATCGTGGCATCTTTTTTATAAATCAATCAATTAATTCTATTCCGAACTTCCTACTATAACACTTAATAAAACACAAAGGTTACCCAAAGATCAGGAAAGCTTGCAAAACCTTTAAAATTTGAAACACGTACTGTTGCAGCGCATGTGTCTATCCACTAATATCACACATACACACACAAATGTCTTCAATTAGGAAAATTATCCAGAGTAACAAAGAAAATCATGTTTGCGATTTTAGTAAAACTGTATTGCTTTTTTCATTTGTTCAGTAGTTTTTCATTTTCTAATATCCTGGATAAGTTTGGGCGTATTCAAGAGTTTGTGAAATGTTTTAGAGTTTGGCATACCCTGCAAATATCCCATGAAAGATCTAGCAAGCTTTTATCTTTAAAGCACTTTCTGTCATAATCTGCCTTTTTAAGAAACCATATTATTTGAAAATCGCATTAGACTATTTTGAAGAAGTAATATTTGAATTTACAGCAAAATTTTCAGTTTCTCACGAATGAGAAGATAATTGCATTTTACCAGATAAAAATATGTCGAAATTTAATTAGGTATATACCTTGTTGACATTATCAATTGAAATATTTGACTTGGAAATTTTTAATATCCATTTAAATTTTTTGCATCTTCTACTTCAATCTCTGTGCGATCTCTTTTGTTGGTGGACTATTCAATTTAGTACATATTTAGAACTATTAATTTAGAATGATTTGAAGAAGCGTGATATTAGCTATTGATAGGGTTATAGATAATCAATCACACTATCTATAATATATATTGTTGTGGATGGGCGATAGAAATTATTATATGTCATATGTCTCCACTATTCTGTATTTTTCCGTGCTTTACTTTCATGCTTGAATGCAGAAGAATGGCCACAGAAATTAATTAGCAATTGGCGCTTGCTTTTAGTTTGCGGTTTGTCAGAATTGTCTGTCTTTTTGGTAAGTTGAAGTAATTCTTTAGCTGGTGAGTTGTTAGTCATTTATCAACGTAAGTGATTTATCGATTCAACAAGTCTGAATAAAAATATCTTCAAAAAGATTTGCGGTCTAATAGACCATTTTGAGATTCGTAATATTTCTAGGGCGTTGAGGTGGACGATATAGCGATTCTGAATTCTAGGCATGTGCAACCGCTCAACCAGGGTGTTGAAAGATCAAGTTTGATGGTCCAATGTGCATTGATGTAAATTATTCAAAAAATTACTGATTTTCTATGTATATATATATATATATTGTAAACAATAATACAATGGGAATTAATGTTATTCTTGCGGGCCAAGGTGCGTGCTGTAAAATCATCGCTGGCATTGCTGAAAATGGAGTTTGTAGGGGATTCCGTATATGGCTAGGGCTGGGCAATTTCGAATACCTGATGATTTCAGAATCGAATACCTGGGAGATATGTGACTGTTGATGGTAGGAAAGCCGATAAGACGATTTAATCATATATCGATTCACGGCCACCGTCCATGTGGGGTACGTGATTAGTTCGCGTTTTTAGTTTCAGATGCATAGACTTGATGGTAGAGGAAGCCGTAACCGACCAGCGCTTACGTAAACCACCCTACGACACTTAACATGATGCGCCGAATCGGCGCATATAACACCCATGGAGAATCGTAATCTAGTTCTGTGTCATCCATTTCACAATTAAATGAAGGACCTCTAAAGTGGATCTCATTTGCACCAATGTCAAGAGTCCGACGCGTGCTGGGTTTAGAAACATACAAAGCGCAAATTCGATAAACTGTCACAAATGCGGCATGCAATTTATTTGGCAATCCGCGACGGTCCTAGTGATTCAAGTTTCTTTTCATCGATGTTTGGCGAATTTGTCAGTGGAAAATTGTGCTTCTCTTATTATCTGAAGATACTTCATTTCAAACGTCTATCACATGAATTTGATAAATAACGTTTACAGAAACAGTATTAGTTGACTTGCCATAAACTGATCCGATGCGCACCTTTATGGAATGAACTTTCCGGATGGTGAATTTGACAGGTCGAACTCGAGGCTCGGATCTATGCGATATATGGTCTGATGTTATTGACTAAATTACTCTAAAATGGTCTCAAATAAAAACAGATGGCGCCGCTTACACGATTGGAAAACATTCAAGCCTTTTCCGACTGAGAACAAGGTAATGAATAGTTAAGACCTGATAATACCGTCACACATGTTGTTTATACAAATGTATTTCACGAAAATGTTAGTAGGGTTTGTGAATTTTATTGAAAAACGAGAAGCATCATGTATTTAAGACTTTTCTTCAAGATTGCAAAGCAGAATATAGAAATGTCCGCATGTTGTGTTTTATATTTAATTTATCAAAAAAATTAATAGGACTGGGTTTGATGTGCAGCTTCTCAATAAAAATTTCGGAGAGGTATTCTGCAGCCGGCGAAAGCTCTGAAAAGGTGTAATGCGCCCATCCCGCAAAATTTCTGGATGGGATCCCGCCGTCTCTTTCAATGCAGCGATAGCTGCCACAAAAACCAGGCACCACGGGCCAGGATGATTAGGTTGTGTATACAGAATAGGGGTACAACAGGGTATGTTACGGAGTTCCGCAAGTGCTAGAGACTCGCCGGTGGTGTCAAAAGATGGGGGACGATCCCAAACTACTAATTAAAATTTTTCAGCACGATCGGGCCAGAGGAAGTTGGTCAAATAGGGCATTTAGTGGCCCAAAATCTAGGATGTGTGACATTGCTATTTCCATGCTGTCAATCAAGTCACGCTAGAGTGATTTTGGGGTTTAGAAGCCGTTTAGCTGCGTTTCCGGGCCGGGAAACGGTTTGCCCGGGTATTGGGAATTTTTCCAAACATGTTTGGGGGTGGGGGAAGTGCCCCCGCCCCCCCAGTGACGAGAAAACGTGTAGAAAGCCACGCCCACTTAGGTAATATGGTTTTTGGGCGATTAGGAGCACTTGGAATCGGTTTTCGGGCAAAGTGATGCATAAATATCGAAGGGACTAATTAATAGAATATATTACCACCCCAACTTTGGGGATTCCCCTACCACGTAACGGTCCAGTGACTTCGGAACGTTGCGCTTGGGAATTGAGATATTGAGAAAAAAAAATACATAGGTAGGTTGAGAAAGTTTAGTTTAATACTTTTTTCAAGGAATTTTTTTGCTCCCGTGCCTCCGTCACGGTCTAGTGATTTTGGCCTTTTGCCGGCTGTTGAGAGTTCCTATCCAGAATCTAAAGGCATGGGCATGATCAGAAAAATTATTCCAATCAGGTATTAGCGGAATTTTTTTTCCCGTAGGCTTCAGTTACGGTCCAGTAATTTTAGGCCATATCTCGAGAACGGTGATAGATAGGGGTCTCGTATTTGGGTTATAGAAGCTAGTTGGAGTGTAGTTTATGCCTATAAAATTTCGTCACGGTCGAGTGATCACGGACCTTAAAATTGATAAAAGTAGACTCCCGGTCATACAAACAGTACTGTTTATGTTAGGGGGGGGTAAATGGCGTCGGTCGGATCATGCCGCGATCCGTCCGACGCAACGGATGGCGGCCAGAGCGTCACGGACATACCCGTCATGGTCCCGAACCAACCATTTGTGCGCCCGCGGCCCCCTCGCGGCTGCCGCAGGCAGACGTCTATTCTGGATGCTATCCGCCGTCTTTTCCCTCGCAACGGTAGTTGCAACAGATACCAGAAGCCAGCGGCCAGGAAGATTAGGTGTTAGTAGATCCGCGCGGTCGATTAGGGTATGTTAGAGAGAACCGCAAATCGCAGAGACAAGCCGGAGGTGTCAAAAGATGGGGAACGGGGGCAAACTAATAAAGAAAATTTTTCAGAACGATCGGGCCACGGGAAGGGCCCTAAAAACGGGCCGAAAGTTCCCAAAGTGCGTTTCTCCTATTTTCGTCAAGCACATGATGTTCCATATAAGGCAATCCTTTGATTTCTTATGAAAAGAGCCGTTTTCTCGGGGTTTTCGGGCCGTGAAAGGCGAGTGGGCCTTTGACAAAATTATTTCAAGTATTTTTAAGGCGGGGGGGATTTCCCACCCCGCCTACATTATCGAAAACGTGTTTTGTGAAACCTGGCAACACTATTTAGGTAGTGTATTCTGTGTTTACGAAGCCTGTGATGGGAAATATGGGTCCCCGTGTGGGTAGAGGGCTCGTACTTTGAAAACGTGAATAACTAAACTAATTACCCCGTCAAAAAAAGTCTTGGACTTGTCCGGCCACCTTGTGGACAAATGTTTAAATCGCTCAATCTCGGCTCGTACGATAGATGGAGTCTTCAAAGTCGGTCAGTGGAAAGCTTTAGTGTTACTCTTTCTTAGTTTGGGGACCCAAACGCACCCGAGCTCCCACTAGTGGTCAAATCGCAAAAATCTATATCTCGAGTTCTGCGATAGATAGAGTCTTCAAACTCGTTCAGTCGAAAGCTTTGCTGGTCCCCTTTCTCAGTTCGAAGACTCCACCGAACCTGAGCACCCACTAGTGGTCAAATCGCAAAAATCTATATCTCAGCTTCTGCAATAGATAGAGTCTTCAAAGTCGATCAGTGGAAAGATTTGGTGGCACTCTTTATGCCTATAAAATTTCGTCACGGTCGAGTGATCACAGATCTCAAAATTGATAAAAACAGACTAAAATTCAAAAACTAAAAATCGACAGTGCGACAAACTATCTAATTAGCATAACAACCCTAATACTTTTTTGTCGCACTGTCGAAAATTCAACAACTAAAAATCGACATTGCGACAAACTATATAATTTGCATAACAACCCTAATCTGGTATGAAAAATTGACATTGTGACATTCTTGGACGGAAATTTCGACATTGCTACAAAGTTGTCGCAATGTCGATATTTCAATCAGGAAAGTTAGAATTTTCGACAATGCGACCTATTTTGGTATTAACCGTCTATACGGAGAAAACTGTGTATGTCAGGGGGGCCGATGGCGTCGGTCGGATCACGCCTCGATCCGTCCGACGCAACGGATGGCGGCCCGAGCGTCGTAGACACAACCGGCATGGTCCCGAACCAACCATTTGTGCGCCCGCGGCCCCCTCGCGGCTGCCGCAGGCAGACGTCTACACTGGATGCTATTCCGCCCACGTCAGTGCATATGGCAACGATAGTTGCAACAGAAATCGAAAGCCGGCGGCCAAGTGTGTGATATGTGGGTAATATAGGCGACGGCTCTAGTAGTGAGTGTTTTCGGAGAACCGCAAATGGTAGAGACACGCCCGAGGTGTCAAAAGATGGGGGACGGGGGGAAACTAACAAAGAAAATTTTTCGGAACGATCGGGCCAGGGCAAGTGGGCCAAAACTGGCTTTTAGTGGCCCAAAGCTGCTGATTGGTCAATGGGCTGTCAGTCAAGTCACGCAAGAGTGATTTTGGGGTTTAGAAGCCGTTTGGCTGCGTTTCCGGGCCGGGAAACGGTTCGCCCGGGCATTGGGAATTTTTCCAAACATGTTTGGGGGTGGGGGAAGTGCCCCCGCCCCCCCAGTGGTGAGAAAACGTGTGGAAAGCCACGCCCACTTGGGTAATATGGTTTTTGGACGATTAGGAGTCTTTGGAATCGGTTTTGGGGCAAAGTGATGCATATTTATGGAAGGGACTAATTAATAGAATATATTACCACCTCAACTTTGGGGATTCCCCTTCCCCGTAACGGTCCAGTGAGTTCGGAATGTTGCGCTTAAGATTTGAGATATTGAGGAAAAAAAATACATAGGTAGGTTGAGAAAGTTTAGTTTAATACTTTTTTCAAGAAATTTTTTTGCTCCCGTGCCTCTGTCACGGTCTAGTGATTTTGGCCTTTTGCCGGCTTCTGAGAGGTCATATCAAGAATCTAAAGGCATGGGCGTGATCAGAAAAATTATTCCAATCACGTATCAGCAAAATTTTTTTTCTATCAGCCTTCAGTCACGGTCCAGTGATTTTAGGCCATATCTCGAGAACGGTGATAGATAGGGGTCTCGTATTTGGGGTATACGAGGTAGTTGGAGTAAAGTTTATGCCTATAAAATTTCGTCATGGTCGAGTGATCACGGACCTTAAAATTGATAAAAATATACTCCAGTCCGTACCGTTGAAACTCTTTATGTTAGGGGGGGCCGATGGCGTCGGTCGGATCATGCCGCGATCCGTCCGACGCAACGGATGGCGGCCCGAGCGTCGTAGACAAAACCGGCCTGAGCCCAACCAACCATTTGTGCGCCCGCGGCCCCCCTCGTCGTGTGCCGCAGGCAGACGTTTATTCTGGATTCCCCTTTTTCAGAATGTAGTGTAAACTAGATGGTCAGGCAACACAGAGCACAAAAAGTGCGTATGCAAAGTGGAAGTCAGAATTCGTTGCACGAAAGTCATTGGTACGAAGTATCTTAGGTGAGAGCACTTGAATTACCATTTCCCAGAGAACTGGCGGGCCGATCCTGACGTAATTTGGCATGAAGCGGGGGGTAGTTACCAAACTGACACAGAAAATTTTTGGGAGCGATCGGGCCAAAGGAAGTGGGCCAAAACGGGATTTTCGTGGCCCGGAGCTCCTTATTGGTCAATCGGCTGTCAATCAAGTCACGCAAGAGTGAGTTTGGGGTTTAGAGGCCGTTTAGCTCTGTTTCCGGGGCCAGAAAGCGTTTGCCCGAGTATTGGGAATTTATCCAAGTGATATTAGGGGTGGGGGCTGTGCCACCGCCCCCCCAGTGGCGAGAAAGCGTGCGGAAAGCCACGCCCACTAAGGTAATATCGTTTTTGAGCTATTTTGCGCACTCGGAACGGGTTTTTGGGCAAAGTGATGCCTAAATCTGGAAGGGAATAATTAACAGAATGTTTCACCAACGGACATTTGGGAGTTCCCCTCCCAATAGCCCTCCAGTGGCGTAAGAAGGTTGCGTATTTAAAAATGAAGCTATTGAAAAATAAAATAGATAGGTATGATAGGAAAAATTAGTTTAACATTTTTTCGAAGAAATTTTTTTTCTCTCACTCCCCAGTAACGCTTGAGTGATTTTGGACTGTTGCAGGCTTCTGAAAGGACTTATTTAGAAAGTAAAGGCATAGGTATGTTACGAAAAAGTATTTGAATCCATTTCGAAAGAAATTTTTTTTATCCAGCTCCCCAGTCACGCTCCAGTGATTTAACGTTATATCTCGAGAATGGTAAAAGGTAGAGATGCCATATTTGGGTCATACAAGGTAGTTGAGGTGTAGTTTATGTCGAAAAAAATCCGTCACGGTTGAGTGATCACGGACCCTAAAATTGGGTAAATTATATCAATACATCATCATCACTTTACTACGCATCATTACTTTGAACATCATTAATCTGAGTAAAGCCAACTTATATTGTCAATTCTATACCAAATCGTTGCCCCTCTAATGTCTGAATTCAAATGTGTAATGTCGACACGACGTTACAGCTTTATGGAAGTAAGCGAATATTAATATTGTTTTTACATCTTGAATAATTCAGGTTTATATTAATTTTACGAAATTTGTATATTATGAAACATAGCAAAAAAAAGCAGTAAAACTCACTTAAGGAAATAATATTATATAAAATGAAATTAATGTAAATAATACATATAGACTAATTCACATAGGCGTGTTAATTTATTAAGAGAACTTGTTTGCGAAAGTAAATAATAAGAAAGGGGTTCCCAAAAGTACGGTGTATGTTAATGTGACGTATTATATTATTCAAATTTCATTTTATAAAAGCCTTCTGTACATTAAAAGTATTCATACTACTGAACAAAATATGATACTTACAAGGAAAAAAAGTCAGATGAATTATATTAAATATTGATATGGAACATACATACAGCGAGACTATTTAAGTAACTGTAATCGACACGACGCTTTCCCAATATTTCCAAATTGTATTAGAAGGAAAAATTGACTTAAAGAAAGCAAACATAAGAGCTAAAGTTTTAAACGATTTTTAATAATATATCAATATTATAATTACATTACTTTTGATCATTTTGATGGTATAAGATAAGTAAAAGTGTCTTTTGGATCTAGGTGATTGGACTGTTTTAGTTTGCTCTTTCCCCCATGAACCAAGTGGTTGAGCCTTTAGCCAGCTAAGATCATGGGTTTATTAAGAGGCTGAAGCCTACCTGCCACGACAAGGCAACAGTACCGTAGGTAGGAAAAATATGTTTTGATATCGTAGTATCAATAATTGAAGGAAAAAATGAGGTAGCGGTAAGACAAAAAATATATACAGAAAAGAACTTCATATTTCCGTGTTTTCAGTTCCAATAATCCCGCCATTGATGCTGGATCGAAGATGTCCAAGTCTCTCAACAATGAGATTGTCGTAATATTCCATCCTTTCCATTGAAGAAATAGTTCCTGACACAACGTTAATCATTATCGATAAGGCAGTTTCAGGTGAGAAATTCCTTTGTAGGTGGCAATGAATTGTTTGTTCCACATGCCTTCGTTGCTTTTCCGCTTCATTTTCGGAGATATGGTCAGAGAAACCATAGACGATGGCGAGGGGAGCCCATGGCATGTAATGTCCTTGGCTGGTAAAGGTAGTGCCATTACCGGCATTATGCTCCGCAATTCTGCGTTTAATGTTGCGGCCTGTTTGTCCTAAATAAGAAACATTTGGGAACGGTAGGGAAATGAGTAAATAAACAACTCCGGATTTGAAAGTAGGAATTTCTCGAGAACTGAAAGAATATGGATATTTGGAATTGGATAAATAACGACATTGACTAAAGGTATTTGCCAGTAACCTGTCGGATATGTGCGACGTCCAGAAGTCATCGGTACGTAACATTTCTGAAATTGTACATAAAGTTATTGAATGTTTTCCAACAAAAAACAAGCAGGACAAGGATGGAACTCTTGAGAGGAGGACGAGAAGTTGTGACTTTTCCCAGAGACGTAAATGACGTTTGCTTTGTTCTTGGTTATTTATTTCGGTAGCGACTAGTCGGCACGTTTCTCCCATGATTCTATGAATGGTGTTAGCTTTATAAAATCGAACGGGTAGCTGAAGTCTTCTTGCATGAGTCTTTCCGTTTATAAGGACATCAGCGGTATACCTTGGCCTTAAAACTAAACCGGGCCAATCTGAGTTCGTTGTAGAGAAAAGGCGTTCCCCAGGTGGTACTAGTTTGACGCGAATCGCAACATCTGACTGCAACACATTAGTATCAAAAATGTCTTGAACAACGCAGAGTTGTCCTTGCGAGAATTTTGTGTTTCCTGAATTGTTGTTATACGTTAGTCTAAGAACAGAGCCGTTAAATAACATAATTTCTTCGGGCTCTAAAACTTGTCGCGTTATTTGACGAGTTTGCGTATTGGTAGCCTGCCCCCAAGTCATTCCGTCGTATACCTCATCCACTGCACTGAACTTTTTCAATTGAACATCAGGATCTTCCAGTTTACCTTTTAAAAATTCATCAATAACCATTTGTTCGGCTTTGCGCGTTGATACAATTCTCATTGCCTCGTCTGGAACAGTACACCAATCTTCCACAAAATTGCACGATTTATCCAAAATATTAACGATGTCGTTGACTTGTTCTTCTTGCAATGAAGGTTGTCGAATCAATCTGATGATTTTCTGTAGGTTTTGGTCACTAGCCGATCTAACGAAATGTTTTAGTTGTACTACATTAAAGTAAGCCATAAAGTTCATCGATGTCCAAAACGGGGCGCCACGTGGAGGTGGAAGCTGCCACGGATCTCCATTGGCAATGACGAACTTGTGACCAAACGACTCGTAAGAAGACATTATATCTTTCATGCACCTATCCAATATGGCGTATGTTTCAGATGAAATAAGTCCAATTTCTTCAAAAATAAAAATGTCAGTTCTTTGAAGCAATACCATTTTCGTTCCGGACTTAGTTAAGTTTTGCATCAAATTAGAGTATGTCCTATCTGGCAATTTGTTGTGATTGTCAGTAACAGGCAACGGAAAAGCTTGGTGAATGTGTATGCCACCTAATGACCTAGCCCGTTCAGAAGTCAACGAAAGAAGCGACACTCGAAACCCGAGGCTAAGGGCGACAAAAGCAATTAGCTGGATCAAAAACGTTTTACCCGATCCTGGGGGTCCAACAATGCAAGGGAATCTGCCGCAAGATGTATTCGGTTCGGGGTCCATGTAATCTTTTAATGCATTCAATATTATGTTGAAAGTCTTAATTTGTTCCGAATAACTTTCGTCAGATTGATGATCTGATCTCGGTATAAGAGACGTAGTTGCGCATTCCGAAAACAATGGTATCCAATTATGAAGGGGTTGAGATAAGTTGGCAGTGAAGACGTCATCCGTCGTTGGTAGGTTTCTTACTCCGGCGTTAACTAAGGCGTTTCGTAGTGACTCTACCAAGGTTCGTCGTCTGAATTTTTCTATAATTTCTATCTGTTTCTCAGCGGTTGTTCTTATAGACAATTCAGAAATAGGAGGGATATTTGAACTTATTTCACCGGAAAGGCAAACAATTTGTGTTATAAGTTCGTCAGCTAACTTGGTATACCTCTCCAATCTTCTTCTAGTAATAGGGAGGTGTAGACCTTCTGCGTCCATGTAGAGTTTGAAAAGTTGGTTTGCATCCTGTTCATTGTATGCGGATTTTCTCGGAATAAGTCCAGCTCTTGTGAAGACGTTACGAAATGAAGTTGTGCGGGTGAATAAATCAAATTCCGTCTCATAGGAACCGAGAGTCAGCACCATATGATAAAGAAAATTGATCTTCTTAGTGGGGTAAACATAAGAGCTAACTGCAACAGTTTCTTTCACAGATTTCTCGTCAATAAATATTTTAGAAGACAGTTGGGCATCCGATTCGATTTCCGATGAAAGACGTTCAAGAAGTTTCACGAGAAAGTTCCTACTGGACGCAATGTGACTTGTTTGACTTGAGGACGTGAGATCAGTATTCTGCAAGAAGTGGTGCAACTTGTTGAGCCCGGATCGTCTTATCTTCACCACGTAGCCGCACGCGTCATGAAATGCATCATTCATTGGATCTAAAGATATCTTTAGGTTAGAAGAAGCTCGATGACCAGTATAAACAAATATTTCATGGTATACCAATAATTTATTAACTGACAAAAGTTCGGGAGGACGAATATTAAACTTCTCTGTATTGGAATACATCAATTCAGATTGGGCATAGTCTCGAGCATGTAGCTGTTGATTAACAGTAAAACGCCTCCAATGAGGAACGGTTTCAACAAGTCTGCAGTCAACGAATGGTGAACGACCACCAGTTAGTCCATAGTTACGCTGGTGTGCGGAAGCATTCTTTGATTTGACTCGCCAAACGCGATACTCTGGAGGATTTGTGTTGACGTGTATAAAATCAGCTGTTGATGTTGTGTAACTAGCATCGTTAATAAAGGTATTCATCTCGTAATATCCTATTTCAGTTACGGATAAACCCTTTAAGCGATTTCTACTAGTTTCAGTCTTGTTAAGTAATTGCTGACCAGATATTTTAACATGTTCTAAACCACCATCAATAACTTTCACATTACCTTTTTCGACTCCTTTTACATACTTACCTCCACTGTGGCTCTCTTTACCTACGTGATACTTTATTAAATACGATGTTGCGAACCGACGATCGCAGGCAGTACAGTTGAAACTTGCTCCCAAAGCGCATTGCAAGAAGGGTATGGTCGGCAGATAAGTTGGCGGGCTCTTCGTTGGGTAGTGGTATCTGCCTCCACGTAGCCTAGGATCAATCATTGTCAATCTGCTGGAAATAGAACCATCAAGCTGTCGGCAATCAGTGTTGGCGGCAAATCCAATTCGTCGCATTCGCTCCGTCATGTCAGGACAATAAAGATTATGGTTTTCCTGAAAAAAGTACTGGAAACTTGTTGGATGCCTAGGAACTCTACATACTACCTCTCCTTTGTCGTTTTTACGCTTCATACATCTTTCGCCGGCCTTCGCGCAGTCATGCGTTGACACTTTAAGATACAACTTCTTCAGGTCATCGAAGTCAGAAGAATTTTCAACGATTCCTTTTCTCAGGAGTTGATGACGTGTGACCCCAAAGCTTTCATCATTGAACACGGTTTCAGGATTGCAAGAAATACGATTCAAAGTTGTCTCCTCATCTTCGTCAAATAAAGCTGCACCGATGTGAACGTGGGCTTTGTTGCCAGGTGAACCTGTAGATTGAAATTCCAAACGAGCAAACATGTGCTTAATGGGACCTGCAGGTTGATCTGGGCTGTTAACAAGATACTTAAGAAAAACGTTAATGAAACGAAGCCACATTCTATTAATCATTCCTAAGTTAGCATTATAAATTCGTTGATAATCAGACGAATACTTACACATTAGCTTCATACTACTAATAATCTTCATGATACCTGGAGTCCTTACTTCGTTGCACGTCATGGTCATCCAGTATTTCCATGGATATTTGGTTGTGAGCGCCGTCAATTCACGAATTTTAACATTGCTGTCGGATTCGTCGTAAGGGATAGGGCTGTCCTGCGCTAAACAATGCAACGACTTGTTCTCGGCAATATGTTCAAGTCCTCGCCTGAAAACAAGTGCAGATGAATTGCTGTTTAATTTATCGTTAAGTTTTAAATCAAAATAAAAATGAAGATGTGAATGTTGTTGACTCGATGGCAGGTGATGATCTCGTATTCGAATGCGGATCATATCGTGCTTGGATCGCACGGATCTGTTTGTGCGAAAAGATGTTGAATGGCAGAAAAGAGATTGATGCATGGCGCCAACAGGAGAATTATCTTTCATCGCCCAAAAAGATGTTGGAAGAATCTGTGCTTCAGGAAAAAGTAAAGACACAGTTGTGGAGTCGTTGTTGCCAGCAAAGTGTTGCAGTAAGTTTTGTGATCTTGCATTTTTTCTCCGAAGTACGCTTCTCTTTAAAACCTGAAAAGTGTCATTTAATAAAAAATGCAAAGGAAAGAAACTGCTGTTTGCACTAAACGTGGGAACATTCGTTGAAAGAGTATGCAAAGGAGCAGTAATGGCGCCATCTTCAGGAAAGTCCAAATTAGAGTGATGTAATATAATGTGATTCACATCATTATCGTCATTGTTACTCGAGTTATCAGAATCTGCGGGTGAATTATCAATAACATCGGGATCAACTTCATTACCTTCATCCATACTTACGGTATCAGCTACCTCAACGGAATCACCTTCGTTTTGTATTTCAACAACCTCACCGTTATTCATCTCAGACATGAAATGACTGCGACATATTCCGACATTGCATTGATTCCCCAAAAAGCTCCAGTGGCATCCCCAAACAGCTTTGTTGGAGCATGTTGTTTTAAAACATTGCTTATTAGTATATCGAAGTTCCTTGAGTAGGAAGTCTCGATGTGAAGGATTTCCACACTTGAAATGTCTTTGTCCGTCTAATGATCTCGAAAGGAGTTCCTCATCAACCGCATTCGAAGTAGCGCCGTATATAGCTAGTTGCCACGAGGGAAGATGTGGAAGAAGATCAAACTTGCGCACCAGTTTGCCATCAACCAACCACCAACGCATTGTGTGGTTCCATCTGGAACGGTATTGCAGAATTTAAGTAATTGTAAAGTTGTAAATTCAAAAAAACAAAAATCAATAAATAAAGCTCCTGATCCCACCTAAAAGCATGCCCATGCTTGGAAGACAAAAGCATGAGAAGATGCCTGCCCATGAAGAAATGCGGAGGTGAAGAATGACGGTTTCGGGAAGACTGAGGCTTGACAAGCAACAGAATTTCTTCATCGTTTAACAGTAGAGAAGGTGGATGACTGAAATCGTCTGTTACGTGAGTCACGCATTTACCAACAATAATTGACAAAAGAATCGCTAACTGATGTGCCTGTGAATTTCCAACTTGTTGTTGATGAGAGAGAATTGTATTATTCAAAGTGTTCTGAAAAACAATCTTCGTCATACTTAGTTTAGTGCGACTTTGAAATAGTTCAATAAAAGCAACTGTGGATAAAATTGAAGCAGTATATTGGTCTAAATTTTCAACAGCTTGCATTAAAGCATTATTGTATAATTGTCTGCAATGTATGAGTATGAAACATATTAGTCCTGCTGGCGACCATGGGCCTTGGTTACCATTATAAACGTAAAGATTGGTGTCATTACTAAAGTTAACCCCCAATTTGCATATGAATGGCTTGGAACCGAATGAGTCAGCGGGATGGACTATGACTATAAACAGTTTATGGGGTTCAATCAAATCAGCGTCAGATTGTTTAGAATTCTGTACTTGCCTTGCTTTTTGAGCTCGCCACATATAATAAGCATCAACTTCCGATACAAATGTTCCCGAAGATAGATGCTTCCCAATGATATCATCGTCATATAAACCCGACTTTTCACGACGATTTACATCATATGTAAGCAGGTACGATTCTGCATCGCGACATCTAGTCGGATCTCTGAAAAGTCTTTTTCTAATATCGTTACGTTGTCCTACTATTAGAGAATTGACTATGTGTTGGTCACGAGAAATAGTCATTTTAGATGGCATAGGGTTCAGTGAGCAGGACGACATTCCAAAATGACCGCCGCGTACGTCTATTACATGTCCTGAAGAATTCCATTGTTTAATTTTACCTAAACGTTTAAAATGTGGAATAAGAGTGCACGGAGCTAGGAAGTCGCATCCTTGTTCAGCATTTGGTCGAAGAACGGGATTGGTTGGTGGATGAAGTGTTGGACGTTTAAGAGAATCGTGCTTATTCCGGCACCATAAAATGCTTATTCCATGTTCATCTGATACACACATTCCAGCTGCGCATATGTATGTTTCTAGATATCTTGTTGGTAAAGGCGGCCAGTCAGGACGTGCTCCTCTGAATGTGTCTGGATCAGCTCCTGATAGTTTGACATCTGTAATACCTGTCAAATAATGCAAGAATGGGATGTAGTCGCAATCTTCTACAAATTCCCAGCAACCCAAAGGGCATATGACGTCGGCAACTGGGAAAGCATTAAAAGCCTCTTTAATGTATCCCATGTCATGAGTTCCCACGAGAGAGTTAAATGTAATGATATCGTGAGTACGATCTAGAAATCGACATGATGTATTATTTATTTCCATTCCACGCCACATATTCCTAATTGTATTTGGCAAGGCCGACCAAACTTTATGAGAAATGGAACGATCGTGGCCGGTAAATGACAATATAGACCAAAGAACACTTGGCCAAGAACAAGACCAGGAGTTACGGGTTGAATGAAAAGTGGAATTCAAGTACTTATAACAGAGATCGCACAGTAGGACGTGTAATAAAGTTGATTTAGGTTTGATAGATCCATATTTTTTACCTGATACCTGAGATCTGATACGTAAATTAATATTATACTTAGCTGTATTGTTTCTGCAGCAATTGACACATTTTCTTGTGTCCTTAACATTTCCTCGAAGATCTAAAGGATATTCTGGTTTATCTGGCCGCTCCGTCCGCTTAGGTATGCGATTGGTAGAAGTCATGTGTGAAATAAAATTTGGTAAGAAATCGGAGGCAGCTTGCGGTTTTGGCTCTGGCTCAATTTCGTCTTGGTCTAATGAGAATGAACTTGATCTGATTTTTCGTTTTTTGGCTGTCTGTTCCTTTCCTAAACAACAACTTGTTATATTATTAGCGCGTGCATTGGCAGCAGATCTTAAGGACGGGAGAAGAGCAACGTAATGTAAGTCATTGGATAAATAACCAATATTGACCACTTGAGAAAAAGTGCCAAACGTACCAAAATGTTTCGTCCTATCGTCCCATAAACGAATTGTTATGGGAAATAAGGCCGCTATTGCATAAAAACAACATGTCTGGGCCCATTCACGACTACTTCGTGTTAAGGAAACAAAGGTATTAAATTCCGAATTGCGATCATCAGAATCGGTTTCTAATAAATCTCTATAGATATGTGGACGACTACCTAGTTCATCTGCTACGATTGACCTAAATTGCACGACATTATCCGGTTTATTAGGTAAGCCCAAGGATCCCATACCATCAAGAATTGAAATGTAGGCGCAGTCGCCACCTCCAGTATTGTTCAATAAAAGAAAGTTATTTAAGTTACAGACCTGTTGAAGCCATACCATACCACCTGGATTTTGAAAAGACCCATCGCGAAGTCCGTCAATGCAGGGCGAAGGAGCGGTCGTCGGTAACAAATCCCGAACTGTATCTCCAAAAACCTGATGACGAGTCCCTATTCGTCGTGTTGAGTTATACTCCGTAAAAGTGCCAGTTTCCTCCACGTTCTCGTAAGTAGGTTCAGTAGAATTGCCTCCATTGGAAGTTGCCAACCATTGTAGCAATTTCCGTTCACCAGTCTCTTCAGCCAATGCTTTCACGCCACATGTTCTAACGTTGTGATTTCTGGCGTTGCAGTATGAGCATGAACGTCTAGCGCGTTTTCGTCCAACCATTATGCACAATACCTGATAAATGTTGTATGTTAATAGGGTATTGACGTAACATAATAAAGTCTAACCCGCATGATATTGTTTGTACCAACCTTATATCGTAGCTGGTCTTGGAATTGTAGAAACACTAGAATGAATTCACTGGGAAGCGGACTAACTTGAATTTGGTTCTGGATTATCAGTTATAGATATGTAACGTAATGAAACGTAATGTTGGAGTTTGAATATTTGCTTAAACAGCTCTGTAGATTTACTGATATTACGATATTATTTCGTAAAATGATGTTATGATAATAAGTACATGCAATACGTAATGATAGTGCTGTTTAATTCTGCAAAAAAATTTTGGGAGCATAAAATATATCAACCATAACAATTGCAGTGATTCCAGCGCTATATGTTTAAAAGGCCATATTTCAAATAAACACAAGTTTACGAAATAGTGAGAGGTTCAAATGCCTCTGCCAAATAAAATATAAGAAGGGAAATAAAAAAATTTATATTCGAGCATATTTTATCTATACGACAGAATTATTTAATTACCTAAAAAAAGTGCAGCAAAATTTGTAAAACGACAGGCCGCGAACAATGAAAGTAACCGGGATGATTGAAATGTTTCACTGTTGTTTTCCCAAAATGTTAAAATGTCTGTTGAAGTGCTGAGTCGGCGTAGTTAATGTCGTGGAACTGAAATGGTTTGTGTGAGTGTTAAGCACATTTAGTTAACAGTTTCATTCACGCACTTGTTCCGTTAGTTGGTTTTGTTTCAAGCGAAAGTGATCAATACAAACTGAATTAAAATTTACTCTATTTGTCCCCTTTTACGACATTAAATTGAGCAGTGCATAAAAGAGAATGAAACTTAAATAGCTGTAGTACAATATTTTTGCTATTCAAAACCGATATATTGTAAACAATGAAAGTTTTCTCCTTACATGACAGATTAAAGAGATATATGAAAAGAGGGATAAAACAGTTGTCTGTTAGAGCGGGCGGAAATGAGTTCGTCACTCTTGAAAGCAGCTCATAAGCTCAGGTAATCAAAGAATTGCAGACAGATGGACAGATGGAGCGCGCGCAAAAGATTGTTTTAGAATAAACCATGCAAGATAAATCTAATCAAAGTATATAGGGATATAAAGAATGTGTATTGTTTGTGTTAACAATCGATTATTTGTCAACTCATGCTGAAAGTTTGACATGTACTTCCCGTATCGTTTGATGTCAAGCGTTAGTTTTATTTGTCATGCATTTGAAATGTTATTTTTTGAATTTATTCATGCCAAAGTTCTCAAAGCACGTATAATTTATTTTTCTTTTACAACATAAACCACTTATTAATATTAATTAGAATTTCATAATTTCTAATAGGTTTAAAATTAGATCGGATTTAGGAATGAGCGGAAGCCATGCTAACGTTATTGTACGTGAAACTTTATGACAATTTTGCAAAAGTGAAAAATATTGAAACGTGTAAACGAAATGTAAAAGAAGTCATGTAAAGTGTAGAGAAAGTCCGAATGGATATTTTGGAATGCTGACTACTTAATCAAATTATTTAACACGTATAGTTGTAATAAAGATGATTTGTTTTAAATATGATATTGAACAGTTCGAAATATGGACTTATTTAGATATTGCAATATTTAGAGCTGGTCATATCCGAATGATTTCAGAATCGAATCAAATCTCGAAGACTTGGGATATATATTATTGTATTCGACCTTTTCATTGTAATTGGTCCCGACAACAAATGATTTAATTACAACATGGAATACATAACGCAGACAGATTGCTGAGCGTTAACACACAATAAGAAACACGTTTTCGACAATAACCCAATACAGAAAATCTGAGAAATCAACCTCGACCATTGGCGGAAAGAAAGAATACGAGATGGCGGCAATAACAAATTTTGATCGGAAGCGATCGGAATAATTTACTAATCGATTCCAAATGCCCTGCCCTAACCACAAGCACACGTTTCAATTTAATCGGCCAAAGCTAATCAACAGCAAAAGCTTAATAATTGAGTTGTATTACCTGAAGGTAAAAATTAACTGATCTATGATGAAAAAATGAACAGTGATACGCATACAACAGCGTTTCCTTAGGTGCCCCTGATACTGTATTGATATAGCTATGCTGTTACACTAAACGAGTGTTATATATATGTAAGAAAAAAATCATCTAAAAATCGCCCCGACCTGATCTAAGCACATGTTTTTAATACTGCTTAATTCAAGAAGAACAACGTAAAAGTAGACATAGCGGACAATTGAAATGACATAAAACGAATGCGCTGGCCAACTTTCAATTTAATCCGTAGCCATCTAACAGCTAAAGCCTAACGCATATATATATACACATTTAGCAGTTTAAAGATACTACATAGTGATCACAATAAAAAGGCAGTAAGTTGCAAAAACTTACATTCCCTCAGATTTTGATATATTGGAGGCTCTCCACTTAATACCTGTTTACGCGCTTGAGGTGTGCGGCCTCGTTGTCTGAATAATATGAAATTCAAAACGTTATATAAAGGTATAGCTTGTTAATTATGAAGTCTATGAAACAGTATGATATTTCGCCGAGAAAAAAAGCATGAACAATGGAGATGAGTGTAATCTAGTTTAAGTCGCCACATGTGACTTGGAAGTAATTAAATGGGACTGTAATCATATCGAGGATGTCTATTGTTCAAGTGAACGATTGATTGTTCGATGACTTGAGCGGAAAATTGCAGTTGACTGACTCCCCGTTGATTTTGTCGTCGAATATGAATTCAATTACCGTACATTTCGAATGAGATTTTACTGAAGGAAATCTTTATTATGCTATGATTTCAAGTGCTTTATCTCAGAGATATGCAAGGATTAAACTACATTTTTATGGCGACATGTAACAAACTATTTAAAATAATAACACATCATTAACACAATCAGGGTTTGTAAATTTGCAATGATTGGAATAAAATTTGAAAATATTACTTTGACAATATACCAAGTCCGTACAGACTTACTTCCAATGAACAATGTTGTAATGTTGACGTGAAAGAGTCGCCTGATGTGCATTATCAAAATGTGTAAGATGGTAGAGTGTTCCACGTAGCATTATAAATTGTATCTGATTTAAATTGCCATTGGGGAGCAGGCCTGTTGAATATTTGTGAATTACTAAATTCAAAGTTTTAAATTATTAGTCATATTCGCGTGCGTGTGCCCAATCCATGCCCACCATTTGGAGAAATCAGCCGAATTGCAATGACAGACTAAATTAAAAATCTATGAACAAAACGTAAACTAATTGTAAACAAGAATGAAGAAATAGCCAATATTAATGCGTAGCTAATATTATGCCAAGTTCCCGTGAGAGTAACAGCATTCACGGAACCACGAATATCGTTTGTTATGTTGCCTATATGGTAAGTAATAAACATTGTAAGTGCCACACATTGATATTTACCTCACATTGATATGAAACTTAATTTCGTAGTTTGCAACGACCGTAATTAACAATTAAGATAGACATTTCGGGAATGGATGGTTATTGGCAGCCATGCAGCAGCAGGACATACACCAAGAATGTATTTGATCTATCGTTTGAGGCAGTTCTATTGAACTTGGCGGTTGAAAGTTCGAGGGAAATAATATTGAAATTAATGAAAATCATTTAATTTTTCACATACGCGAAATAGCATGCGTATGAATCAATTGAAAAATATCAGTTACACAAAGCATTGTATATGTTGGTGCGTCATTCGTTGGTATGTCATTTAAATGGCTTACCCTTGATATTAAGCCGTATTGTATGCATGAAAACGAGCGTTCAATATATCATTCCAGTTTGTTAACGAGAAAACGTAGTTATAATCTCTCATATTTTCAGCTACTGGTCACTTTTATAAAATTTTACAACTTTTCATCTCAAACCAAACATATTAAAATGAAAGCAAATTCAAAAAATTCCCAATTATCAGAGAGGGAAAGAATAGTTAATGTGATAATAGTATTCGTTTATTCAAACGTACATTTTCTGAACACCTCAGATATGCAGCAATGCCTTGGCCGCACTTTAAGCCATGTTGTTTAATTTAGAACGACGTTACGCTCATATTCGATATTGCCCCGCTGATAATTTTTTTTTTCCGGCATTCGAAGCATCGTTTAAAAGATATGACGATAAGGAATAGAAGTAAGTGTTAGCATATATACCGAAATTTCTTATGTCCACATTACAGCGGTTATGAAGTGCCTGTTGACTGTATAGCTAACTGTACAAGAAGGTTAAGATATCTCAACGATAATGTTTAGATCGGAATCATAGCGAATGTTTGTAATTTAATTATCAAGTAATTTAATTTAATTATCAAGTTATTTCTACGCTTAAAAGACGAGAGTTGTTGCAATTGTTTAGAAATACGAGTGCTAATTCATTTCCACCCATTCTGTGTCACGGGAATGCGCGATAATGCGAATGATAAATTAGGATTCAATCCGTCAAGTCTGCGATTATGAACTCGTTGGGAATTTAAATTAAACGATTTTATGTCTAAAGAAAGGGGAAGCCTATGGTGAACCCATTGTTTTATATTAGGTCACTCTGTGAAAAATGAAATTGCATGCTAAGTTTCCGCAATCAAAAGTCGTAAAGTTTTTGTTTTGCCCTTTTTCACACTACTTAGTCATGTGCGATAATGTGAATGATAAATTAGAATCCAATCCGTCAAGTCTGCAAATGCGAAATCGTTAGGAATTTAAATTAAACGATTTTATGTCTAAAGAAAAGGGAAGTCATGGGGTGAAGCCATTGTTTTATATTAGGTCGCTATGTGAAAAATAAAATTACATGCTGAGTTTACTCAATCAAAAGTCGTAAAGTTTTTGTTTTGCCCTTTTTCACACTAGTTGTTCACAGTTCGACATAATTAATCGTGAGGCGTGGACATCGGTATATATATTGTGATTTAGTAGTGTTTGGAAGTATAGTGTTTGTTTAAAACTGGAAAAGGAATGTCTCGCACTAGTTGCGCATGTATCCCTATTTACCGTTAACCGTTATTTAGAATAAGTGTAGGTGTAATAAAATAAAAATCTTATTAAATTCTAAGCAAATATTGAGCATTGGTGGTAGAGTAGTGTATTTTTGGTGCTTTGTTTTATTTAATATGTGTCAGGTTTTTGGTTCAAATAGGGCACTGCAAATAATATTAATTCAATCAAATAATATTAATTCAATCAGTGTACCTCAAATGTATATTATATTACTTACTTTTTTTTATGTTCGTTTCGTTTTGCGGTATTATAATCTGTGTTACGTAGTTTTGAACGACAAATTTAGCGTGAGAAATTCTCATAAGAGTTTGTTTTATTGAATCAAAGTTGATGAAAGAAACACACGATCGGAGTAACATTTCATTTTAATTTGAAGTCGTCGAGTGTTAATAAATCTGGTTGAATCTTTATTCAATTGTAAATTCACCAAAAATGTTATCATTATAGTTGGTTAAAACCTCACTATCTGTTATAACGGAAAAAAGTAAGTGAAGTACATAATTTTGAATATAATTAAATAGTACAACCAGCTATGAATAAGAACAATTATTTCTGCGAGTGTGTTTCATTTAAACTTGAATGAACGTTTTAAGATTTTGTACTAAGTGATCTAATCTATATTTTGAATATAATTAAGTAATGCAACCAGGGATGAATAATAACAATTCTTGCTGCGAGTGAGTTTCATTCAAATTACAAATAAATGTAATCTTCTCTTTACATATGTACAGATTTGAGAAAGATTTAGAAAATAAATTGAGCGTTTTAAAATTTTATAATCCGTTAGTATAAAATTGAACAAGTGTTAATTGCGTTTATTGTCTTCAGTAAAATAATTTTAAAATGCTCAAACAAAATGAGGACGACGGCGCTTGAATGCGTGTAAGCTATTCGGTATACTTATTAAGGCTTGAAGGGTTATTAGAAGGTCGCGATATGCGATTACATTCTGCTATACCTACGTCGATCTTCCATTAGAAATCAATGAAGTATTTTTTTAGATATGTACAGTTTTGAAAGAAATTTTGCAAAAAAAATTCAACGTTTCAAAATTTTAATAATCCGTTGGTAGAAAATTGAACAAGTGTTAATAGCGTTCATTGTCTTCAGTAATGAAGTTTAATAAGATAACTGAATTTTTACCCGTACCCAAAGCTTTTAATAACTTTAAATAATTTGAAAAATCAACTCAAGTCTGTCAGCCATAAATATACGAATCGTAAGAAATGTAAATATGAATGACATATTTGGTATAATTGCAATTAGTAGTTTTCTTGATTCCAAACTAATTCTTACTTTGCTCGCGAAACTTTGCGTAAATTCAAAGTAACGACAATGTTATAATGCGATCATCGGCTTTATTAAATAAGTGAACGTAATCAGCAGATGTCCATCCACCAACGATCACTATCTAAACTGGGGGTGAAATCAGTTAATGAGCTTGATTTACATGCTGGAAATACATGATAACAATTGCATAACGTCACGCTAATAACCGGATTGCGTAAGTCATTCTTGGCGGTTTTGAGTTTTTCATAAAATAGGTATTTATGTAATGCTGCGCACCTGTCTGTTAACTCAGATTTTATTTTAAGAATTCCGAAACTCATAAAAATAGAGATTTTGTAATATACGCAAATTTGTTCAATTTTTTCGTCATAATGAATTGTCATTGTTAACGCAGGACTATCATGACGTCACAAAGGCAAAATAACCTAGGCGAAGGATTTTCGAGTTTTTGCATCTCAGATTCTTGCTTAGCGCTTATAAATTTCAGTTTAAACTACAGTATAGGAAGGCGTGCACTTGTGATATTCACTGTCTGAATCTAATTCACCTTGGTTGGCTCTTATATGTAAGGGTATATCGCTGTTTTATTCCTTATAGTTAACTTTAGTCTTATTTCGGTGGATGTGCAGAGCGTGTTTTTTTGAAATATATATTTTTAAACATAAAAAATAATGTAATTGAAACAGATTAGCTATTTTGGGGATTAGACATCGTATATACCAAGAATTACATTCATTTTTGGATTGTTTTGTTTTCAGGACTGGTACATATAGTCAAGTTGCAAAATTGCTTATGTCCCCTAGTCATAGACACATTTCTGCCTATGTCACAGTGCGCCATTATGAAGTCACTTGACTGCGTCATACAAATAAACTTGAATCCGTCTACGATCGAAAAATTGAACTATGGCAAATTATTGATTCTCAATGGCATAACAATATTATTAGGAAGTTTTTTACGTTTTTCTCGACTGCTAAAAATGACTTACGCAATTCGGTTATTAGCGTGACGATAATATGTCCGATCATAACGTCTTCGGTGTGCTATAAGTATTTCAAGCGGGCGATGATTTGAACCCGTCAATGTAGGTTAGAATTTATTGCCACGACGCAGATCTGAGGCATAGTTGAAATG